TTTGATTTTATTTTTAATGTCTCAGTAACATCCATACCCCTAAGGGAAAATTTAAATTATAAAAATTAATTCCTGTCAGATAATTTGTTTGAATTTCAAGTTGTTTTGGTGTTCCAGGCATGTTGCAGTGTCGGTAGCAGGTTCATGAAGCCAGGTTGAGTTAAATTGGCTTGCATACACTTGTAATTTTGGAGGAAAATTAGTCAGTTGAACATGGTTAATACATTCATGCTGTAAGGCTGGTGATAATAAGTTCTTTAGACATTGAGACATGCAATTACCCTAAGTGCAGATAAACAAAATCTTTTGTGCACATGTTGCATGTGGAAGGATATGCAAATTTGCAATACTCCATGAGCACTGGTGTATCCTGAATCAAGGCTGCCATTCAAGACTCAAAGGAATAGCCTTGTGTGGTGTGAGGAGCTTTTAACTGCAGGCTACTGAAGTTAATTTTACCAAAAAAAGGAGATAACAGACTGGCACAGGTGTGGTTGGAAGATTGTTAGTATATTTTGAAGGATATCAGTCCCTACCAGTTCCACTACAGCCTTTTGGTATAAAATTATCCCTGCTTAGCCACAATTGACTTGGTCTAAGATGCTGGCAAATACTTCAGCATTGGTATGAGTGACTTCAGTGACTCAGTCCACGGATTCATGTTTTTAGGTTTTTATATTAGCTCTGCAGAAACAGTTCATAGTAACTTAACCCAGAAGACACAATGAAGAACACTTTTGTATATAAAAAAACATGTTGATGATGGGCAAAGGGGAATGTAATTGCTCTAGCAGGCAACCCAGAATACTAAATTAGTGAATTTGTACTATGTTGAAGAACGGTGTTTCTCCTCAGTAGCCTGAATTTTTTTACTGTTTTTTTCTCCTGGAAACCCTAGCTCTTCAGTATCAAGCTGGGGTAGGCTTTGTGAGATGGGCATATCAAACAACTTTACTAAGTCAACACTCATTTTCTTGAATTGGCAATCAAGATTGTTTCTTTCTAGCCAGCAGGTTTCTGCTTTTTGGGGAAACTTTCCTATAGTGAATTTAAAAATAACTTCATAACCCCATGTAATTTTATTATCGAATTTTAAATTTCAAAATTGATAAAAGTTGGGTGAAATTACCATGTCTGGCTAGTGCCAGGCTGCTGTCATAGTGTTGTGGACTACAGGTATGTCACTTTGCTAGAATGTTAATCCCTTCTGTTGGTGTTCTGCTTGTGTCCCAGCTGAGGAAGTTGCTGGCTTTCCAGTTAAGGCAGTTGTTGAAACAGTTTGGTGATCGCTTTCCCCCTTGGCAGATGTTTGGGCCCATTGAGCAGTTAATACCCATGGGAAGTAGCCTTAGGGGGATGGGATGTGTGCAGCCTCTGGCACTGAGCCCTCCTCTGTTCAGGAGACTGGTATGGGAAGGAGACTCAGCTTCTGTCTGAGGAGGAAAGGTGAGCTTCCAGTTTTTCTGCAGCTGGTCCAAAGTTCGAGTTTGCACAAGACTGAAGAACCTGTGGGACATCGCCTTCTCGTTGACCTTTTGATAGTGGCTGCTCTGCAATGGTTTAAATGAGCAGTGCTAATGAGACTGTTAATTACACCCATCCCAGTGCTGTATTACTTCCTCTCTTCACTGGCATTCAGCATTCCCAGAGCACAAGCAGGGTGGTTGCTGGCTGGGGGAGGATGTAGCTCAGTATTGTCAGATAATTTGTTCTCATGGACTGTGCATGCCACAGGGAACAAGACCCTAATGTTGTAATCCTGCCCCTGTCACTGTGTTGATGTGCTTTATGGATCTGTTTCTTGCTTCCCATAATTTTTGGTAGCCAGTGAAGTCCATGGGGGCTTGTAAAAGGCTTGGCAGTGTAAAGCACTCTGAATATGCTTGTACAACATGGGCTGTAGAGTTTCCTCATATCCAGCTGAGCATTGGTTTTTCAGGGCTGTTTCATTCCAGGATGAACATAGCAGAATTGACAACATCCTGGACTTTTCCTGTGGGAAAGTGTTGTTTCTTGCAGTAACTGTCCATCCTGGCAGTCACATCTGGGCACCTGGTGTTAGCAGGACCCTGGCAGCAACTTGCAGAGATTCACCACTTCCATTTTATGGTTCATTTAAGATGAACCCTAAGGCTCATTTCTCTGAAAACTCTGGGTCAGTTTCTGAGTGAGTCCATCTCTGCCAGTAGCAAAGCCAAGTAACGCAGTCTACTGGAAATGTATTTGGAGGCTGATGCCAGATTCCCAAACTGGAGAGTGTCAGCTTGCAATTCAAGTGGTGCTGATGTTTGCGGGAAGGCTTTCAGTTCTAAGCTGTCAGATGTTAGCCAGTCTGTGTAATTAACTTGGTATAATTCTGCTTCAGAATGAAATATCCATTCGAAAGAGACTTAAAAAAGCCATCCTGATGTTTCTAATGTGTGGGTAGTAAGTGATGCTGCACAGAGCAAGGCATACATTTATTGTTAGAGAGATTGGTTTCATGGCAACTCCTCTTTGTTATTGTGGTACACAGAAAGTCCCAGAGGCTTTTACTGTCCATCACTTCTTGGGTCTTGTGGATAAACCAGATACAAAACCTGCAGACATACATTAACAGTGGAAATATAAAATAATACCAAAATACACTCTGAAATGCTCTAGTTGGCTAATTATCCCAAAGGACAAATGTAAAACTTTATTTTCCATAGTAGTTTTTCTAGAGTTTGGTAGTAAATCTTGTGAGGAGAGCAGGAGAGGGAATGGAAATGGAAGGAGTAAAAAATTTGTTTTGCCCCAGAGGAAATTCAGGAGTGAGTTAGAGAAGTGGTAACACCAAACCAGAAGCCTATGGCTTGCAGGTCATGTAATACCAAAAGCTCCACCATGAGTCAGGGAGAGCTGAGGATTTGCTGAGAAGAAAGTTATGGAAGTTTAGAAATTACGTAGCCCATTTGATTAAAAGATGGGAACAGGGTATTGTGTGTAGTTGCTCCATCCAATTCCTGTTTACCTCCCCATCATGAAGTTCATTGACCACTTCTGATCTCTAAATCTGTTATGTATTTTGATTCTAATGCTGTACCATGTAGAAAGAATTGATTCTTTTTAAGACATGAATTTTATTGTTTTCTCTTTTGAAAAATATCCTAGGCACCAAAGTTCCCCGTTTGTGCTTTATTAAAACCAAAATGAAGGGTTTGCCTCAGAGTGCAAGCTGTATTTGCAAAGTTTATGGTCAAAAAACAACTTCCTGAAAGATGTATAGGCAGGGGATACAGAACTGAGGAATCCAGCTGAACACTGAGATCATGTCATGCTTGAGCCTTTTTTTTGTTGGGACTGGAGTTTTTATTGTTGTTTCGGTTTTGTTTATTTGTTTAGATTGCATCCAGGATGGACCATATAAAGCTAAAAGTATTGATTCTTTGCCTTATTGCTGGTTTTCTAGTGCCACAGGCTTGCTATGGTAGTCTGGTCGCTTGCATCAGTTCAAGTTTAGCAGAGTTATTCCACATTGTACTTTAAATGATGCAAAATAATTGCCTGGATGAGATTCACAGCAGGCAGGTTGAGAGAAAGGATGTAAAGTCCTTTGTAGCTGCACATAACCTCTAGGTGAGGATTTTTGTTTTGTATGTGAATGTTTTTAGTTCCGTTTTGCTTTTGTGATCCGGCTGACAAATGAGATTGAGTGGTAATACCAAAAGAAAGTATTACACTCTCAGTGAAACCTCTTCTTGTTTTTTAAAAAAGTTGTCATAAGACAACTTGTAGCATCAACCAGAGATGACACATCAAGAGGAAATCGTGTCTGGGGTGAACTGAGCTTTGCACCTTTGCTTGTTGACGTATGCTCCTCACCTACAGCAGCACATTAAAATCTTTACATTTGGATATAAAGAAGGGAAAGAAAAGAGGAAGTTATAGTAACCCACTAATTTCTACATACATTTTATTCTGAGTATATTAGAGTGATGGAAAAACCTGAGTTCATAATTTACTTCAATTCAGCTCAGTATTTGATACCAGTAATTATTACCTTCCAAATCTGTTTATTTACTTGTGGCCTGTGTCCAGCTGTTGTGCCAGGGCAGAACTGGGGGATGTGGTAGAGAAAAATATAACCAATGGCTGGCATCCACCCTTACTGCACAGTCAGGGAATTGCACAGCTCCAGGCAGATCAGGGGCAAAAAAACTTTGGGTATGGAAATACTAAGCCCCGACTGACTCATTTCAGAGAGGCTTTCATACCGTGCTGTGTTTTTGTTTCACTTTGTAGATACTTCTGTATTTAAAAATTGTCTAGGAGATGCTTTAGAACAACTACCTTCTACTTTATTGATGACTGCTTGTCTACACCAGTGGTTTGTTAGCAGACTCATTATCGCTTGGGCTTCTTTTCTGTCATCAATGACAGCTGCAGTAAGAGTGACAGCACTGAGTCATGTTATGATTTAGACTTCTTGTGTGGCAGCAGAACCAGAAGTATTAAATTAAGCAGATTTTTCTCCACATTTCTTCCTGTTGGAGTATCCTTTATGCCAGTAATTACCTGTTGTGGATGATAAATGCTTGTGGCAGGGTGTGTGCTTGCCCCTCCTTATTCTGCAGGTTTGTGGGAGCCACAGCCCCTGAGCAGGGAGCCTCCTGCTGTCTCAATAAGGGGCAGCTTGAACCCTGTGTTGATGCAAGACTAATTCAGGTTATTTTCATTAAGACTCTAGTTGTGTTACCTTGTTTGCCTTGGAGGATAAAATGTAGGGTGCTGGACTTTGTTTCTGGCTTAACAGAGTACAAGTTCAGGGCTCTTGGACTGATACACACCATGACGAACTGCTCTGGTTTTTATGGGGAAAGCGCTATGGGGATGAGCTGAACTCCATGATTCTGTTTCCTTGAAAGAAGTTGCATTAGTGTCCATTGGATGAAAGATTTACCAAGTGTAGCTGCAAGTGTTTTTGATGACTGGAATATGTGTAGATCTTGCTGAAGAGAATTGTTTTCTTTCTTTTGCAGTTTCTTGCACAGCCAGCCACTCAACGGAAAAGATTTCTTCAGCCTCTTGTTTCAAAAGACCTCGGAGATCTTCTGCTGTTCCACTCCCTTTGGTCCCACACTTCAGCAATAAAAAGATCCAAAGAGGAGGATGAGGCAGCTTAGAGGAAAACCTAAAAAAGAGACCTCCAAAGATAAAAAGGAGAGAAAGCAGGCAATGCAAGAGGCCCGGCAACAGATCACCACCGTGGTGCTTCCCACACTGGCTGTCGTAGTACTGCTGATTGTTGTGTTTGTTTATGTAGCGACTCGTCCAAATACAACTGAATGATGCAGCTTTTCAGACTCCCTAGCTTTGGGATATTAATTTTACCAAGAGCCAAAAGGAACACTCTGCCACTCTTTTAGTACTTTGCAAAGGATCTTGCTGGTATTTTCAGTCTTTCTCTTGGCTACAGTCCCACAGATTCTCTTTAGGAATGTAACATAAAACGTATTAGTGAATGTGCCAGTACGTTTTATGGTCGAGTTATGTGCCTTTCAGACTTTTAAAAATGGTGTTTTTCTTAAAGCTGTTTGAAGCTCTATATTGTAAAAGGAAATCGTGTTCTGCTATAAATTTGTAAAAAATCAGCTTTCAGCTTTTATCACTGTTATGGATAATGTTGCTCCCATGAGCTCTTGTATGTCTATTTCAGAACTTCCAAAGAAGTACATTTCTTCTTTGTACTTAATGTCATATGAAGTGCTTTGATTCAGAAAGGATATATTTATTTTTTGAATAAAAGAAGTCTTACTTGGAATCTTCAAATTATTTTGCAAAAAAAATGTGACATTGTGAAAGCCTACATTGTGTAATAATTTTTTCATCAACCACTATATAGTTCACTCAAAAAGAATTTCTTTTTGGTGCGAGATGCCAACATGCAAAGTGAATACTTCAGGATCTTCTGGATGGGATCTTATAGAATTTGGACAGGGAGATTCTGCCACATTATGGTGAAGTAACTAGTAACAAACTACATAAACACAGATAGTTGCTTATCTGAATGTTCAATATTTAAAACTGTGTAAGTGGCAATAAAAAGGTGGTTTGGCATACAGCTCTTGATTATTTATTAAGACGGGAAAAGTAACAGTGTAACCTTGGTCTCTGATCTGTTTGCTGAAGTGAGCTGCTGTCCTGTGACATGCCCCCATCCCCTCATTGGAAGGAAGCTGTGAGCACAGCTTGGCCAGTTTAATTTTAGGAAATTAAGCTACAAATTCTCATGAAAACGCCTCAATGACCCTCTATTCTAGTACAGCCCTTTCTCATCCAAGTATTTTAAGGCACTCAATAGGCATTAACCTTTGGAAGGTTTTGGGAAAGGAGATTGAAAACTCTTCACTGCTGCTTAAATGCAGGCCAGGCGAGGAAGAACGTGATGCTGTAGTGCACTGGTGCACGGCAGGAAATACTTCTGTGCTGAAAGTTAAAGATCCCTTGAGTCTTTCCCTCATGTGTAGTCTTTTGGCTCAGGGATAGCACCAATGAAGTCAGCAGGACTCTTCACTGAGGTAGGTGCCAGTGAAAGAGGGGTCTGTGTTTCCTGCATCACGTCCATGTACTGCTCCTGTGCAGAATGCTGCTGCTAGCCAAAGTTACTTTAGGAGCAAGTGCAGGTCCTTGCAGTGTACTTTGCCCTAAGGCCCACATTCCCACAGCAGGGCAAGCCTATGGCTGGCTATAAACCAGCTCCACTGGGAATGATGCAGATATCTGATGGTGCGAGGATGGCCATGGCTCCTGACGCTGTGCTACCGCTGCTGGGAGTGTCTAGAATAAAGCTGGTGCTGAAGACTGAGATGTTTTTGAAATACAAAGTTTACTAAACCTAAAGAGTTTGGATGAACTGTGAGGTTGTTCCCCCCCGCAGCTTGCATCATAGTTGGGATATCTGCACAAGGAACTGCACAGACAGCATGGCCAGCGTGGTCTGACTGCAAGAGCGTTTACCCACAGAGTGACCAGCAGGAAGTCTGCTGGCAAACCCCTGTGCTCAGCGAGCCGTGTGCTGACACTGGAATTATCTGTGCTTTGCACTGACAACTGCTTCCTTCAACTGGGGAGCTCTGAAATGATGAATCTGTAAAGGTAATTGCTTAGTCTGTCATCTCCCAGCTGTTTCTGTTCTCCCAGGCACCAAATCCTCGTCCTATTTTTATTTTATCCTCAGTCAGGGATGGCTGCACTAGAACTGGTAGCTTGTACCTTTTTCAACTGCGCTGTTCAGCTTGAATAAAATTTGTGCCTGAGCAAGTGACCAAAAGTGTGTGCAATTTAAATATGTGTGTCCTTCAGGGTGCTTGGTGTCTTGGGTGTCTGGAATGGAAGTGCAGTTTCTGATAACCTCTTGCGCAGATTCCTCCTCATTGTCCTCTTCTGTAGATTCTTAACCAGGGGTTTTCTGACCCTTCTTGTCCTGTAATACTTTGTGATGGTGCTAATGAGGTTTCTGTGACTTCCTCATCTCTGACTAGTAGCTTATTTCAGTCCCTTCTACCTGCAGGGCTTTTTATGAGCCCAGGCAATGATTTTATAATTCACAGAGCCTTCCCTAAAATTGTTCAGAGTCCTTATGTGGTTTTGCCCCACCTTCATTGCAAAAGTTGAGTCTGTGACATAAGAGCAATGAACTGATGAACTGGCTGATAACAACTAAATAGGTAAAAGGTCAGTTGGGTTAGATAACATTTATGATTACTCCTCTAATGAGATGTTACATTTCTGCTGCTTTTTCTTATGCCCTTTCTTTATCTCTTGTGATCGGTAAATTCTTTGGGTCACAATCTTTTCAGGGACAAATGTCTATTAATATAAATCTATACCTAATTAGAGACATGTATTTCAATTCTCTGAAATGTCTAATTTTACTGAGTGCTAATTGAGAGGAAAATAGTGTTACACTTTCTGAATGGCTCTTTAGAAGCTGGAATTGATTTCACAGTTCAACCTTAAAAAAACCAGTTATTTTTTTCTCTAGTAAACAATGAAGTTGGATTCTGACATTTTCTACCAAATTCCCTTTTACTAGTATTGAATATGAGAATGTGGATTTGGAGAAAAGGTATGAAGCCTCTGCAGACAGAAACTGTCAAAAATCACTGAGTAATAATGGGGAAGTAAATTAATGGTGGTTGCCCAAATGTCAACTTGTGTGAGCTTCTCAGCCAAAGGTGTAACTGTGCCTCTGGTTTTTTAACTGTATGTATTACTCCAACTGTCAGTTGCCTTCAAAAATGTTTTAGAAATAGGGTTTCAAACCTTTTCCCAGCATACAGTAGCTTGTGGGCAAAACTGAATGATTTATTACAAGCATTTTCCAGAAAACTCCTGCTGAGACACTTCTTCAGCACTGTCTTACGGTTTCCAAGAGTTCTCATTATCAGGTGAAGTCATTAAAAACCTACCTTTGCCTTCTGATAAATCAAGTTATAGAAGCAGTTTTTAAAACCTGTTTTTTCAAAGCATAAATCAAATCTGAGTCAAATACTTAAACATCAAGGTTTGAATGGAGTTCTATAAATGTCTGTGAAGTGCTAAAAAAACAAAGCTATTGTGTCAAGTATTCTTGCAGTGGGTAAATGCCCAGCTGTGTTACACATGGCCCCAGCTCCCCAAAGCCAAGTGAGAGAAGCCAGCAGCACTGCCTGTGGTCTGAAGGAAGAACTACATGAACTAAGAGCTCAGAGAAATTGGCTCCTGCTCTCATGTTTCAATCCATCTACAAGAAAATATTTACTTACTCACTGATGTTCAGTTTAAATGCACACACCAGTGAGGATGTGCTGTTCTTTTTTTCAGACTGTGTATGTTCAGTGCCCAGATGGTTCATGTAACAGCTTTGAACAGTCCTGTAGCTGTGGAAGAGGTGAAAGAAACAGATTGATCTGCTGGTTTAGGAAGGGACACAGGAATGCAGTATATCATAATCTAGGGACATTGCTCAATCCACAAGCAGAAACCTAGATGCAGTACATTAAATTACAGCTTATTTATGGATTTGAGAGTGTCCATGTGATTAACTAGTAACTCCAACACAGTGAACTTTGAGATCTGATCCCCACAGTGAGGGAAGAACAACACACAGCTCCCACATTGGTTTGGCCAGTTCCAAGGAACTCTGCTTAACCTAGCATTTTCTCAGCAGAAGCTGTGTGTGACAAGGAAAAAAAACAAACCAACAGATTTCCCTAGCAAAAGGCAGTTTGTGTGTAAAATCTAGTGGGTAGCTATTTTCAGTGGAATTAAATGGGGGAAAAAAAGATTGTGAATGATATAATTGGCTGTTGTAGGTTGTAAAGCCAGAGGAGAATGATACTGGTGAAGGACCTTCTCCCCAGTGCACTCTCTCAGCTGTTGAGTCTGTGGGAGACACAGGAGCAGAGAACAGCAGGAGTGAGTAGAGTTCAGCACACACCTGAGCTGGCTGTGTAATCCAGGCTTTGATGACTGGCATGACAGACCACAGATGTGAAATCACCTGGAGCTCGTGCATTCAGCAGTCTCTGTTGACGGCTTCCTTCTCATTCCCACCGGTGGTGGTTAGTTGAGCTTTGAATTACTAAGTGCTGGTGGGCTTGATTCTGTGTGCTGTTGTACTGCTGTTAAATCAGGAATTAGAACCAGTTACAGTACAATAAAGCCAGAACAGTGACACTGTGGGGTTAGGCACTTCCTGTGCTATATCTGATCACAGCAGAGATTTATTTGCCGTTGTTTAAGTCTACCCATCGGAAAAGCAAGAGAGCCGTGCCTGTGATTGTTCATTTTTGTCTTCATTTGGCAGTGTGTTTTGCTGCTGCAGTTTGCATTCCTCTCTACATTGGCTCAGAGTACCCACTGTCTGACACTCTTCCATTAATTTCCCATACATAAAAGGAGAGAGTAAAAAATGGAAGAAAATGCGCTAAATATCTGACTTTCATGTGAGCCACTTTTAAATGGCTATTTAGTATTCAGTAACTGCTGTTTCAACCCCCTCAGAATAAGTTTTGGGGAGTGAATTGGACAGCAATGCTCTGGCAGCTCTTATGCCACCAACTATTTCAAAATTACATCTTGATGAAACATGTTGGCAACTGCGTGCATTTGACCTCTGTTTTTCCTTCAGCCAAAAATAATAAAAAAAAAAAGCTTGTGGCAGCCTGAACCATTGTTCTTTGTATTTAAAACAAGTCTTTCAACTGGGAGCCAAAAGCTTGCTTTTCAGTACAGCTTTGAAAAATCATCAAAGTCCAGCAGCTTACAAAAATTTTCCATTGCCTTGCTATTCACAAAGTAGAATAAAAAATTTCTGTATTTTTTGGGCAACTTGCAGCTCCCGAAGATTGCACCTTGTCCTGTCAAATGAGCCTAATGATTAATACTTTTTTTTTTTTTCTTCCTTTTATTTCCTTTTTATTGGTGTTTTCTGGGATTTATAGCCTTGGACTCTTCTGATTATTCCTTTTTTAACAATATACATCCATGTCCAATCCCTGTTCATAAATGAGTAATTTCTCAGTCTTTAAAATTTCTGCTGTCCATCATTCTTTTTGGCATGTTAACATCAGGAACATGTATCTTCCTTCAGAAATCTCTCACCAGTTCAGTTGAGTTTCTGCCTTTTAATGCAACTAAAGTATTCAGACCAGTGTGGTGGCTTCAGCTCTTCCGTGGAAGCGATGGGCTCATTTAAACTGGAGATTGTCAGATGAGCAACTTTTGCTGCTTGGTTGATTTTCAGTGCTTCTCACAGGCAGTTTAATATATGGCATTGCACAAAAGTCAGGCTGAAACTAATTCTGGTATTTTCTTACCCAAAATTAGTAGCTTGCCCAGATATTAAAAAACTTTAGGAAAAAAAATCATCATACCCATTTCTTGATGATTTAATTTGCATTCTTCACCATCTCACAGATCTACACCTTGAAAGGTGTCCTCAGGCCTGAAATGGAGGCAGACACATCCATTTCTTTGAAGATCTGGAGCAGACTGTCGTCTTGTTTGAATCTGAGAGTGGCAAAAAATTCTGGCTAACTGGCTATTTTTTTTGCTCTTCTGAAAGACAGCACTTTTCTGTCTTTCTGCTTCTACACATCTTCCCCAGCTTAAAATTTAGCTTTATTTTCAGAGGTCTCTGAATTTCTTCATTAATTCTTTTAAAACTGCATCTCCCCTTAAGCTGAGGATATGTATATATTTAGTTTGTTCAGATGTCCTTCCGTCATCTTTTTATTCAGTCCTTGTTCCTCCAGCTGAGTCTAGTAATTTTCCTGAATTTTCCTGTAAAAGGTTCTTTGATGTCCTCATCTTCATTGCTCTTTTTACTGCAAGCTGAGCCAAACTGGTATTTAAAATCTTGGTATTTTGTGTAAGTATGATGTAGTATATTTTGTCTTAGTGAAAATATAGCATCGAAAAACAATTTACATTTTAGCCATGGTCCTGAATATTAATGAGAATTCTTTTACTCACAAACTGGAGCGGTTTGACAGCCTGGTATTATTTTTATCCAGATTTTTCCCAGGAAGTTGGCAACAGTATATGCTGGAAAGCAGTTCTTCAGTATCTCATTCACTGAAATTGGTGGTTCATCAACAGTGTCTGTAATTTCTGTTTCGCTTGCACAGCAATAGAATTCAGTATGAATTGCAAATAAAAGGAATCTCAATATAATGTAGATTTTCAGCACATGGAGTTGAATTAACTCTGCTTGGTTATATAATGTTTTCCTATGATGTAGGAAAATGTAAAGAATTTAGGCCCTTACCTAAGACTGATCACATGCTGTCTGAAGTTAAAGTTTTTCCTCATTATTGCAATATAGTTAAACAATAAGCCACCGTGGTTAAAAAAACTTCAATAAAAAATAGGTGCTTTTGAATACAGGTTTTAAAAATTGTAAAGTCTTAATGTAAAGTGCCTGAGATCAGGTTCTGCCCCTGGTGAAGTCTATAGGTCTGGTAAATGGGGCAATATGGATGGCTTCAGAACATGCGCTTGGTCCTTTAATGTTCTTCTCACAGAGCAGCATTTCCAGAGGCCCAGGGGCTGTTTCCACAGCCAAGAATCACCAGAGCATAGATAAGCTTTTCATGCCAGGAGCCCAGACATGGTTAAAGGCCTTTATTATTTTTTTTTACAATCTAGAGAATTTCTCATGGTTGGTTCTAATTTCAAGGGAGTAATTCCACTTATTAGCCCTCTGTACATTACAGAATTTTAAGTGTCTTGTTTCTTGATTTACAATGCTGCAACAGGGTCTCTGCTGCACACAATTTAACCCACCTGTATATTTTAGAATATGTTTAGAGTTTATTTTGTAATATAGTCAAGTTACAATATAATTAAATCTGTTGGATAATGATTATTTTCTTGAAAACTTGGTGTTACAAATACATGCTATTGGCAATGTGCCTAAATACATTAAGCGGCTATTTGCAGATTTTAGTTCTGAGAAACTCATGGGTGATTACTTGGTTTGCTTTCCTTAATTGTGTGACTGGCTTAAGTATGCCTGCTTTGCTGCATCCTGGCATATTTTTTTAGAGTGTTTTCAGAATATCTTTGCAGCTCTTCAAGGTGTGAATTTAAACGTTCTTCAAATTCTCTTGCATGTTTCTCTTCCTCTTGAAGGAACTTCTCTGTTGTTGCAAGGAAGGACATCGCAGGGGGAGACTGAGCAGTGAACAGAAAATCATGGTTAGGAAAAACCATCAAGTGCTACAGCATGTTTGCATTATCAAATTCTAGATGTGACAAACATCTTGACCTATAGCAGCTAATAACAGTATAATGCTTTACACCTCTTCAAGAAAGCACCATTTTTAAAGGCATACATTTTTGAAGGCATCCATGTGCCTAAATGACATGAACTGAACATTGTGTTTGATTACCTCTGATATTCATAGCATTAGGATGTAGACTGGCCATTAAAAATATAAATATCCCACTAGACAGAATTAAGCTGCTGCAGAACCTCCAAAATCTATCAACTACAGGTTATGTTAGTTATTTGGATATTGTAGACCAGGGCAGAGGACAACAATCTTTTTTGGAATTACAGACTACAATTAGTGTTGGATGCTGCTGATTGTCTTCTGGAATTTTAGCTCTCTGCTTCTGCTTTCTGAGGAAAAGCAGAAAATCTGTGCTCATTTCAGTACTATTAACTCAAAGCTCTGACATTCTGGAGAATGTACTAAATTTTTGTTCACTGAAAAAAATATTCTTTCTGTTTAAGGAGCATTTAGTGGACTCAGACACAAACCACACCAATAATCAGCCTTTAAATGGTTGTCATGGGATGCAGAGTTGTACAGAGCAAAGGACATGTGTAAATCTTTGCTGGAACAAGTTCTAAATTTTTAAGCACCAATTTTTGTTAATTTTCTTGCTAATATCTCAGATGCATTCATTGGGGTATCTTTATCAAAAGAAATGTATGAAATACATGAAATAATTTTTATTTTCCTAAATATACTATGCCTGTTTAAATACATTCAATGCTTTTTTGTAGAGATAAATGCAATTTTATGACAATAAAATATGACAATTTTATGCAATTTTTAAGATTTGGCTGAGGAAAAAACTTAGTATAGGAGTTTTAATATTAAAAGAAAGGTAATATTTTATCTTTATATTGTCATATATTGAGAAAAAATGATTGGCATCTTTAATCTTAGTTAAATCATATCTTCAATAGTTTTAGTTACTGATTGAGTTATTAGTTTAGAATTTCAGGGTATTTTTCTAGAATATAAAATTGTTTGAAGTTTATGTATCAGCATATCAAATAGGAGTTCAAATATTCAGATGGTCTGTGGAAAAGGCCAGTTCTATTACATCCATAAATTTTTACTCCAGGCTGCACTGTATCAGAATGAGGTATTCCTTATTTCCACAGCAACATAGAGACAGATTTTGACTTTTGTTTTCAACTTAACTGAAAACTGCTCTTTAGAAGCTTTTAAGGCTAAAAGATACTAATTAGAAAAATGCTCTAAAGCACCAATCCATTCAAACTTTTTGCAGTGGACTCTGAGATGAAATTTAGAGACTTCCTATAGGAAACCCCTTTTCTTTTCAAAGTACAGAAGTAAGTGATAGCTGGAAATAAATTCTGAATTCAATACCGTCCTTCTTGAGTGAGAGAGGCTTCCTGATGCATAGGGCTCCTAAAATGAAATTCACAGAAAAAGCAGACTCTTCCTTTTCTCAATCCCTCCAAATTAATGTTTTAAAATGATGGTCAAGAAAAAGTTACTTGACATGTATTAATTTGACATGTATTAATAAGAAACCTAACCACTTTGTGCATAACACCCCTCTCTCACTCAATCCTTGTACTAGCAAGAATAAGAAAGAACGCCAATCCTCTAAAGTTTAAGAAAATGGAGGGACATAAGCTGCCTTTGATTTTCTTCATAAACACGTGCATGGTTTCTCATTCATAAATTATCACTGTTCCCATATGAAGAGTTTTTCCTGACATTCCGAATGCCATGGCTTCATGCTATTTACTCCTTCATGGGCTGGGTCACAAATACATCTCCTTGTGATGTCAAGATTCAGTGACAGAATTGTTAGTGCTATTTTGAATCATTTGAAGAAGGCTTTTGTATTATGGAGAATACATTGGATTTGGAGGCTTTACTTAAAGAATCACTATGTGTTTCCCTTACTGAATACCAGCTATGAAATCACTGATTCAATGCTGAGCAAATAAAATACTTGCAGTGAGAAGCATGAGAAACTGGGAAAATTTGAATCTGAAATACAAATTTAATAGGTGTCATCACCTAGAGAAAAATGTCATGTCAGACTTTTCCTTATGGACTGCAGATTTACACAGCTGCCAGTCTCAGAAAGTTTATATCAAGTTACAAAATATTCTTAGAGATTCAAATTAATAATGCTTATAATTACTGACTTGTCATTGGAAACAGATTGGCCTCACGATCAATCTATCTTTCCAAACTGTTAAATGTTCTTCTCTTTAACTGGTACTTTGATGTGTTTCTTCTTGAAATACACTGTAAACTCCAAATGAGACATTTCTGAATTTTCTGAGTTGAGAGAAGAATGTTTCTCACTTAGAATAAGCAGGTCATGGCTCCCCACAGCTCCTTACCCGAGGGTCAGACATCACAGACTATGATTTTAGATAGGACCCTAATGCATTGTTTTTCATGCACTTTGAGAGAGGGTTTTATCTAAGCAAGTCTAAAAGGCAACTCCTTGTTAGCAGCACTTTGCTTTTCAAGCCTCTGGTCTGTTCTTTCATTATGTTCTTTATTGTCTTTACTTTTGGCCTCTGAGGAAGAAAAAACACAAAGAAAGTGCTTTAATCCATGTCTCAGATGAGATTAATGGTCTCTGGTTTTGAATTTCTTTTTCTCAGATTTTGCAGATTCTCTGCTTTTATGTCTTTTGGTTTTCTAACTGAAACTGGATAGAGATGTGTTCATTGTAAGCTTTCCATCTAACCTGTTTGGGTAATAAAGCAACAAGGACTCTATTTTTTCATTTCTACAGTGCCAGCTGATCTCATTTTTCTTTGGTGTATATCAGTAATGAGAATCACCTTTCTGCCTGGAAATGAAGGAGTGCACCTGACAGAGATACATATTTTTATAGATGAAATATGTGCTAAGTATGTCTTCTCCTTAAATAAGAACTACCCAAAGCAGTTAAGAATTAATTTTGGGTTGCTGGGGAGGAGCCCTTCAGGAGGAAGCTAGCTCTCTCAAAGGGAGAGACAGAACTGCCTAATTAATCTCTTACTTGCCCCATGAGCTGTCCCAGCATTCTTCGATGCATCTTCAGCAGGACAGCAAGAAAGCTTTAAAATGTGAGATATTTTAGCATTTACTGGTCAAATCATGAGCAGTCAAACCCCATTGTTAGAGTCTTCTCATGTTTAGCTGCTTCTACTTTCCAGGAAAGATTTTTTAATAACAAGAGTAGAAATTGGTCTGGCTAATTTTAGTCTCATAGTGACTAAATTTGGGATGTTTTGAGAGTAACCCTACACTACAATATCTCTTAGGCAGCAGGTACAGATGCCTATCTTAAACATGCTTCTGTTCATATATGAAAATTAAATTTGAATTGCCTAGAAAATTGGAGTGACATAGGAAGATTTTTAGAGGGCCTACATAGCTAGGAAATAGTAATACCTAGGAGAGAGAGGCATGGACTATAGCTTGCCTCAGGGTAGGATCAAGACTGTCAAAATAATTCCTAATGATTTCCAAGGGCAGAATTTCCACAACTTTCCATTGCAAACTATTTATTAAGCAAGTTCCCATACTAATGTTAGAAGATTTCCTAATGCCTAATTTAAATTTTAATTATTACAGCTTAAGTCTTGTATTTCCAAGCCTTGAAAGCCAGAACAAACAACTGTCTATCATCTGAAGAGAAATATGAGAAAGTATTTATGACTAAAAGATCAACCAATCATTTTCTGAAGTTGTTCATTTCAGGAAGAGAGTACAGCCTAAAGTATTATTTAGAGGAAAAAGTATTTTCCAGATTAGGAAACATGAATTTTTGGGGTTATGGGAATTTCCAGTGAATCCCAGCTGAGCTTTCTAGTTTATTCTAAGGCAAGAATGACACTATACATGTAACCTCTAAGTAAGAATGTGAAAGGGCAGAAGTTCCAGCGGAACATTTACTAATCTTTGTCTGAAGATTCTCTACCAGGGAGAGAGATACAAGCCATTGTCTAAAGCCCTACAGAGTATTTTCTTTCTTCCCTCAATACCAGTAGAGTTATTTTGGTGGGTATCAGAACATCACCTGGAAATTTGATGTTTTCAATTTGGCATACAAATATTCTTTAGAAAACTAGTGCCTTGTAACATTCTCTGAAGTTTTGAAAATACTGGAGATTTCATGTGGGTCCTGTCCCTGTGTTCTATACCCCTCAAGTCCTCAGAAATGTGTCAAAGAACTCTGCTTTAACATACTGTGTATTTCCCCCCTCTTTCTCCTCAGTGCAGCAGCTTTGCATTTGAATACAGATCTCTGGAGTAACAGACTACTGAATTCTGCACCAAAGCTGTGGTATTCAATGTCAGCCTGAGTGACAATTTGATTTCAGTGGTCTGAATTTGTAGCTGCTTCAATGCCATGGATTTGGACCTAGACTCTCTATGAGAAACATCTCTTGTTTAATAGTTATGTTATGTACTTTGCCCACACACCAGCTGGAAAGTCAGCTGGCCTGAGTGCCAGCTGGGTAATAGTTTCCCAGCTGGATAATACTTTCTGCATCTTGCAGAAGTGTCTCAGAATGGACATTTTTTCCCAGGCTTTCTGGAAACAGAAGCTTTGTGATTTGGTGTCTCGTCTGATGCTTCTGACAGAAGAGAGAAGAACTGGTGTTTATCAGACTCATCTGGAAAAGTCCAAATGACTCTTCATGGTCAGCAGTTTAAAGAGAAAAACTCTCATGCTGTGAGAAACCAAAAGCCATTTACTTAAAATTCCTGTGAAACGTAAGAATGTAAAAATGGAATTGAGATCAAACATCTGGGACTACATGGTTTTCACTGTTCTTAGACTACTGGGACAGAGCTGATGGGACCACAGTAAGTGAAGGGCTGCACTGCAATCCCTGCTTCACAGGCATGCCATCATTATGGTTCTTGCCATCAACAGTGAGATTCTGGACTATGGAGATAGTTCTGCAGCAGCCATGTCTCTGATAGGAAGGGATGTGCATTTGTTTCTGAAATGGACAGCAGAACCGGGGTACAACAACCACAGGTATGATTGCCTGTCAATCCCTCTAGTAAATGCTGAAGTCTTCCCTCTTCTCCCTCGATAGGTTCAGCCAGAGCCCTGCAGCTGAGGATCTCCTGGTTCATGTAGAGATCCATGTAACCCAGCTGGGCAGAGGGAGGCCTGTAGTTCCTTCCTCACTTACATTCTTAGTTCCACTGCTTACTGATGGTATGGTTTCATGGTTTGAGGTCAGGAAAGTGCAAATTGTCAAGTGGAAAACAATAGTGGCCTGTAGTGGAGGCCTAAGGAAGAAAAGAAGATACTAAGGAAGAGGATAAAGCTCAAATTCAAAGGGAGCTCTAAAGCCAAATAATTATGGAAGAGTTTTCTTAAGTTGTCCTAGGCAAAGTGGGATTTGTCCCACTTGTCATGGAGGATAATAGTCTCCAGCCTATAAAGACTAAAAGAAAGAATGCTGTCCTATTACTCCTGAAAAATAAGGATCACAGTAGTTATAATTTCTGTTTCTTTTCAAATACAATAGCTAACATATGGAAAATAGTTGCTGTGATTTTTCTGATTTCATCCATCAATCAAAGAGATGTAGATCAAATAGGAACTTGATTTGTCTAACAGCACTTAAGGCAGTAAGTTTTCAGGTATTATGGAAATACACTTGAAGCAGAGTGCTCTTACATAGGCAATAGAAAGCTAAGTGCCCCAATATAGAAGCCAGTAAGCCAATATGTAGAAATCTTTCTCACAGTCACATAATGGCAGGTAATTATCACCATCATTATTAGAACAGAGGTATGGCTCAGTAGGGGATGTTTAATCTCCAGAAAAACTGCACTTCTGTTAGGATAAGATATTTCCATTTTTGCTGGGCTGGCACTGTGTAACTAACAATGACAACAAGAGTGGTCTAATTTTTGGCTCTGTCAAGGCTGCATTTGGTCCACGGATGGATTTTTGAGAATAAATGTGTTACAAGAAAACAGTTACTTACCGATAATTTGATTTCTTCCTCATTGGAAGCAGGGCTCTGAAAGCTGCCTGTTCTGCCCACTTCAGGAAATGGTCCAGGAAAGCCCAAAGGATACCCCTCTGGTGGTAATGGAGATTTATGAAGTATTTTCTTTTCATGACCTCTGCGAAGTGGATGAGAAGATGAAGTGCTATCACTGTTTGAACCAGTGATATTGCCTTGGCCATACAAAGCAGGACTACAGTTTCTGTGGTATCTACCAGCAGTGAGCATAGCAGTCTGTTGACATTCCACTTCCCATGAATCTTTATTTTGGAAAGATCTAAAAGAAAAAGAATTGAAATATAAAACTCAGTTGAACCTCATAAGCTATCACAGCAAAGCCAAGAGTTTTTCATTGTATTTATTTACATAGTTTCGATTACTTAGTTGTTTAAATTGTTTCATGCATGAAGTTATGGGCATGAGATTAAGCATTACCCAATTGCAACAATTTAGCAATTTCCACCTAGATTACTGTAAAAGTCTGAGTGTGCTTTCTCTCTCTGCTTCAGCTGTGAATTAAACCACCCTAATTTAAACCCTTTCACTGGAGCTTGGGTTGAGGAACCTTGCCTTGGTTGGTACAACTGTGGCAAAAGGAGCTAAAACACAAACTCACTTCAGGTATTGAAGGTGCCAATACTCTTTAAGGAATTCCTCTGTTACCTGTCCTTTGCTAGTGGCTACCATTTCTTTGGCTTTCCAGTGGAAAAAGCTATGCAAGCACTCTTTGGCCATGTCTAGGAACTAGAGTGAATTTAGCCACACAAATAGAGGAAATGAAACATCAAAGTGTGAGAGGAGAGAAAAATCCTATTAGTGGTTGGATAATTAGTCATTTTTGATCTAATATTATCTTAAACAACTATGTTCAAGAGGCTAGAACTTAGAATAAATGCTGAAACAAAAAATAGTACAAGAATCTTTGATTCTGCATTTTTACTGCAGTGATAGTTTTGCCACTGACTTAATGATAACACTCTGGAAATTAACATAAAAATTATTAGATTTAAAATATATACTTTCTAAAAAATTGTACAATAGCATGCTTTTGTAACAATAAATGAAATCTTCAAGCTTAAAAATAATTTTTAAGCATTTTAATATGTTTCAAAACTCTTGTATCTCAGTGATCAGAATAGATATGCAAATACATATTTCTAATAATTTGTATTTCTGTAAAAACTATTTGGGTTAATAGCAACTTAAAAAAAAATTTCTTCCAATTCAAAATAGTTAACTGAACAATTCTGATACTGTACTGATAAAAGCAGAAAATTTTGAGAATTGCTTGCCCAGATGTCTGCAAAATTACACAAATTTTCAATTGTATCATTCCTTGTATTAGACACCAAAACATGCAGATAAACCTTGTTTCAGATTCTATTAATTTTATGTTACAGTATTTCTACCTGAGATTAAAATTTCCATTGTATTGAGGTCTGTGCTTATGATGAAATTTTAATCTTGGGAGGTAACTACTAAAATGTGATAGCAGTTTGAACAGATTATATCATTGCAACTATCCTAAAACACTCTACTAATTTGAAATGCAGCTATAAAAGCTTTTAAAGAGCATGTAAAATATAATTCAATAAATATTCAAGCGTATGCAGTGCCACTCAGTACCTTTTTTTCTTTTTAAATAAAAGAACTTTCCAAGTGTAGGGAAAAGAGTGTTTTCTGCAGAAAGATCATACTGTCATTTTCTAATCTTAATTTAAATGCTTGGTGTTGGGAGAGAGTGGCTGTGGAGCATTGATGGACCTGCTTTTACATAAGCCCTTCTGCTGGTTTTCACAGGGATAGGGTTGATTTTCTTCACAGCAGTTTGTATGGGGCTGTGTTTTGGATTTGTACTGGAACCAGTATTGATAACACAGGGATGTTTTAGTCACTGCTCAGCATCACATGCACAGAGGCCTCTTCTGCCCCTCACCCCACCCCACCAGTGAGGAGGCTGGGGGTGCACGAGGATTTGGGAGGGGACACAGCTGGGACAGCTGATCCCAGCTGACCACAGGGATATTCCAGATCATATGGGAGCATGCTCAGCAATAAAAAGCTGGGAGAAGGCTGCCTGGGCCTCACATGACAGGTGGTGAGCAATTGCACTGTTATAACTGGGCATCACTTGTTTCATATATTCTAATTATAGCATTATTATTACTATTGTTATTGTTATTATTACTACTACATTCCTTTTCTGTCCTACTAAATTGTGTTTCAACACATGAATATTACTTTTTTTAAATTCCAATTCTTTCCTTGTGAGTGGGGGAGTGAAGAAGCAATTGTGTGCTGTTTACCTGCCAGGTTAAACCACAAAAGACCTAAAACATGAAACTAAATATTTAGTACATGGACTGTGCAGAACAACTCAGAGAACTAATGAAGAACATGTTTTTTTTTCTCTGATTACAAAAGAAGCTGTGATTAGAGATAATCTGAATGCTATGGCAAAGCAAATTATAAGCATGATGCTGTATTATTATTTGTTACTATAATTTTATTTTTACTATAGTAATAATACTATTGTACATGCTAACATAAAACTCTCTGAAACTACTCACCAAACCTTCTAGTTTTCTAAATCACTTTAAATGTTCACCTTTATGGAGGCAGAGTTTTCTCCTTTCTTTCATGGTTTTCTTTACATAAATATACTCTGCTTTTGGGTACAGGAGAATTCCTTTTCTCTTTATTTTTCTTCCTATTTTAAAGTCCATTCCATCTACAGTTTGGATGAAGGGCACCATGAAAAAAAGCCTGCCACAACTGAAGATAGATGGCGTGAATAATAAAATCACAGGTTTTTTTAATCTCATGTTCTGACCTTTTTGGAAGTAATTTTCTCTCTAAACCCACAGTGAAGTCCATGTGATCGGTTTCCTTTTTTTCCCACAGAACTGCTTCTCTATGTATTTAATAACAATTATTACTGTTGTGTTATAACTTCTCTAAGAACAGAATTTTCAGACTTGAGTGCCTACTTGACTTGGGTTATGGTAGCCTTTAGATAATAAAAACAGTCACTGCACCTCCACTCCCCCCCAAAAAAGGACTGATCTTTTTTAAAAGGAACTCCCATTCTACCCCTCCTAGAGTAATCCGTAGGTTTGTTGGGCCTGCTTGGTATTTTGGAAAAACATGACAACTACATTAAGGTGCTTTGATAGGGATATTGGGCCCTTACTTTGGATGGTTTTCACAGTTGTGGTTTAAACTTCTACCAGTTAATGTGCAAAATACCATCTAAGAACATAGATCTACTTTAAATACAATCTGCAAATTTGTAGGAAGCTGTCTGTTTGTTAATACTACCAGTGCAAATACATTATTATTACTACAGCTGAACAACTTATGCTTTCAGTGAGATTACTGTCATGGAGTATTTAACATGTACACATACCACACAAATAATATCACTGTTGACATGGTGACATAGGGGACAAGTAGTGAAAGAACAGTGTCCTCACAAAGGGAATTTATACAGACAGGATCTACTTTTCCAGACTCACACATAAAATCTGCCTGGTCCCTGTGAGGTCAATGACTTCAGTGATGCAAAAACCCCCAAATACCTTACACAGCTGGTTGACATAATCAGCATAATACTCTCGAGAAAGAAAACTGCAGATCTTTAAAGACCAAAATGTCTTCAAGAATTTGTGCTATTGCTTTTACCTGGCAAGTATAACAGCTAGCTTGATTTTAAAATTGATAAAAAGCCTTTTCCTGAAGAATTGTTTTGTTTCCACTGCTTCCACTTTATTTATTGCACTAACTGATACAGTGGTGAGTGTGACTAAGAGTTGTATGATCTCCAAAGAGTAGAGAAAACCTCCTTCACACAGATATTTCACTCCAAACACACATCCATTGAGTGATCCCCAGCTACCTTAGAAGGTATTAAGTCTTAGCATTTACCCTTCACTTTTCCCACATGATGAAAGTGCTTTGGCTTGATCAGTTATCTATTTTGTGCACATTTTTGTGGTAAATAAATAGCTTTTCATTTCTGAACTCACAGGCATGTTTTAATTTTGGAAGAAACAAATGGAACATATCAGCTTCATCAGAGAAAGTCCTCTTCAACCATGCCCCAAACAATTTAAATCAACTGCATATGGTCAAGGTCTAACTAAAGGATTGAAATCGAGAAACTGAGGAAAGCTTATGTAAATTGCAATTAGAAGTAAGATAATTACATAAGAAAACAGTAATTAATGCAGATGGTTATAGGTAGAATGTGGGCATAGTCCTTTTTTAGCAAAAAGATGCTACTTCTGCATATCTTTCTTTCTAATACCTAGAAATTCACTGTATACTGAAAAAAAAAGAAGAAATCATGCCGCTTTTTGGCCTGCCAGTATAACTTCCTGCAATTTCCTGTGTTTTCTCTAGAGGTCTCCTCTCTAAGACATGATGGTTCCTGTGCCCAGGATTCCACTACTGACTGAGAGACACAGATGAAAAATATTGTAGAATATACACCCGTCCCTTGCACCAACACCATGTTTTCTAATTTTTTACCATATAAAAAAAGGATTTTGTGCCCTTTCTCCAGTGCCATAATTACCATGGAAACAGAACCAGAAATAACAGGCTTACACTCAGAATAAAATAAAACATACCCCAGATTTTAACTTAACTAACATCAATTTCCTAGTTTATCTGCATACATCTAATGGTTGAAAATATAATTTTAGTTTTCTGGAAAAATCCTAAGGTAGTTTCCTGCATGGGAACAGAGAAGTGATAGTACAAAGTGGGCCCAATCATAAAAGCACTAGCAAGGTGATGTACATACACAGTGTACATGTCAAATTTGCATGTTTTAAAATCTGTGTATTTATTTGAAAATCTGAATAGCTTTTCATTTAGGAATTCTAATGCATGATTTAGATACTGAAATCCAGGCTCAATATACCTGTTTCATCATACTAACTACAATAATAATAATTTATATTGTGTTCAGTAGTCTGGTTGAGATTTTTCTTGTGAGAAAGGTCAGCTCTCACAGGTGTCTCTCTCACAGTTTTGATTGATCTTCCAACAGCTCTGAAATCACAATCCTGCAAATTACATGCGTAGTTCCATTGTCTCAAATATTTATATTCTCATAAATTAAATTTCAAAGTCTCTTATATACAGCAAGTGTAAATCCTGAGAAAATGAGAAAAAAAATCTTACTTCCTTCTCACTTGAGAGGAGTTAAGCATGAGCAAAAATTGCACTGACCAATTTTGTGAAGTTATGAGACCTATTGGTGCAGAACAATCTGTACCTTGGTTTACAAGTATTTGTTTCAACATTTTCAACATATTTTGAAAATTCACAGGAAATCAGATGTATGTAAACATATACACTTCCATATAATATATCTATTTATCTTCACATGAATACTACCTCCAACACAAAACAACACTCCTTAAAAAGAAATTAGAATTTAGGCAAAACTGGATCTATCTATACTGGGATGCTGCTCTATTTTGCAGAAAGAAAATTGTTTTAAATTTTTCCAAAACCTAAATGTATGAGTTTGAAATCTTAACATGTCCAATTTTAGCTCCAACTATTTCAACTTTACTCCACATATCTGTTTCATGTTAGTGCTATCATGTCAGTTCCTTATTACAAATAATCAACATATTTAGCTTCCTATTAATTTTTATTTTCCTGTACTGTGAAATACTGTTTACCAGGGAGGTTTTTTTGTTTTTTAATTTTTTTTATTGCAATGCCATGATTATAATATGCTTGAAGGCAATTCAGTGGCTCACTGAATACAGGGAAAGAAGAAGAAAGTCATCACTACAATGCTTTCTATGAGTCTGAATATTCTCAAGTCTCATTATTTGTCCCTAACAAGGAGTTTATTGTAGCAATGACTTACACAGGGCATCTGAAATTATGTTTCTTTCAAAAATCAGGTCACCCAAGAACACCAAAACCAGACAAGGCATTAAAATACATTTATTGAAACTTCCAACAAATGAAACTGGAGGACATAAAGCTTTTCAGCAGGGCCTATAGTTCAAACTGCTTATTAAGAGAACCTCCCGTTGAGAAGTTTACCTCTCATGTTGATTTTTCTATCCTTTTCTTGTCTTGTTTTTATTTGGTAGTAAAAATACAGTCTGCTCTATTTTGCAAAACCTGGAACTAAGAACAGCTTGAGCAGCATATAAAGAGTTTTTAAAGTTTCATGTGCTAATTACAGATATTAAACATTCCTGGGACTTCTTTTATTGCCAGTTTCCATCAGCCAACCAGAAAAATGTAGGAAGTCCTTACAAATATACTAACTAGGTCTGATATTTATATTGGTGGGAATTCTGAATGAACAGAAACAGCAAAAACTTAACAGTTTGGCCTAGTCAGACCATCCAAAACACTTAAAAGAAATTTCATAAACAATCTAAATATTACCTCTCTTCTGTTTCTTGCACCTCTGAATGGGTTTGGTAGCTGTGTTCTGTTTCCTTATATGTATCCATGCAACCCAGTATGGATGTTTCTGTGTCATTTTGTAGTTTAACAAGGCTATTTTGTAGTCTTAAATTCTCATGTTTCATTTTGCGAACAGAAGCTGTGAAATTTCCATGTTCTTTGTTACATAAATCTATACACTGTGAAAAGAGATAATACCATCATTAAGCAGTTATTTTTTCCACAGTAAATGGGTATATTTTTAACAAGCAAACACAAAACAATGTTCTGTACTAAAGAAAAGACCTAGCTACCATATATAATCATGCAACATTTAGGGCAAACCAAAAGAATTGCCTCCAGAAAAAAAATCACAGTAGTTAAATGGAAAAGAAGGGATAACAGCTTCTATAACACAATAAAACAAATTAAAATTTCTCAGCAAACATGCATTCAAAATATTACTGTTGTAAATTTATCGCTTGCTTTGTAAAACGGATGACATAAAAACAACCATAACAGCTATAGCTGCAGACTGTATTGCTCCCTCCAGAAACAATTCCTTCAAAAATAACAAGCAAAATTATAGGAGTTCATTACTATACTAGATACAGAGTATGTGTTCAGTTTAATATGTGTGTTGAGACAGTCACCTTCAGTTTCTGAAGCAGTAAAGCCACATCAGCACAGCGCTCTCTGTCCATGTCACTGAACCCTGCTTCTCAGCTGGGTTAGCCCACATGGTGTGCAAGGCAAAATACTGAAAATGCAAGCCACACATGCACTGTGATCAGGGGCTAAAGACCCCCACCCACTAGGATATCAAGAAGGGAAGATGGATATTAGCTCTGGAACTTGTCTAGCTAGGATACACTGTTCTTTTTTTTCTCCTATCACTTAATCTACAAAGGCTACAGTGCACACCTGAGCCAGCTATTTTGGAACTATCTCTCTGCAGAGTACTGCACTGCATTGTGTAATGTATTTGCAATAACAATATACTGTCGTCACCAGGAAATTCTCGAAAGGTTTATCAGATTACACACAAAAGACTAAAATCCCTTGCATTTCATTAAGTTGTGCTTTTACATGTTCCTAGATTTACCTTATTCTCTTGGAACTCAGTAACTCATTATTTGGTTCTTAGTACACGGCTGGCACAACTGTGCTTTGACATTTGAAAGCTTGTCTATTCCTTGCACTGATTTGATGCCATCTCTTCCTGTGAACCTTGCTTTGCTTAATTTTCGGGGGAATTCATGAGCCAAGCTGGCATGGAAATTCCAGAAGGTATAAGAAAATTTAGTATTTCATGCAACTATGGGGGAGCAGGGGCTCAGCTACATCTCAAAAGCGGGAGGAGTGGCAGAACCAAGGGAGAAGGGAACGCTAAGTCATCCAACCACTAATGGCTCTAGAATCAGTGGTAAAGTTATAATGGCATGAACCCCAAAAGTGAGCTGGCCCAGCTACATTGCTTTTGACATCTAAACCCTGACAGTAACCCTGCCTGATGATGCATTACACCACACTGACTTAAGGCTGGCACTGGTCTTTGAGGTCTGTGTAGTGCTCCACTGTACAGCACAAACATGTCCATAAAAATCTCTCCAGTCCCTGCAATCTTAATAACAAATATATCACAATCTCTAATATTTAGATCCTCACAATGTATTAGTAAAGCAGGAAAGAATTTTTAAGCCCACAATTCTACTGAAACATGTATTGACCTTGGAATACATAGTAACTGGATTTTACTGTTAAAATATAACAAACGTGATGTCTCCAAGGACCCTTGTCAGACAGCTCTTCTCAATCTTCAAGAAAAGTGTCACTGCAGAGAAGAGTTAGACATGCATACACACAGCCATCTATGCTTCCACAGTAATATATATACACATACAGATATCCATAATAGTGTGTATGTATGTGTAGGTAAAGCATCACTGATGGACATCTATGCTATTTGAAGGGTGTGAATAAATGTGACATTCTTAATATTCCAGTGGGATTTTTTTATTTTTTTTTATAAATACAGTAACTGCAGATGTTCTGTAAGCAGGGGACGTTTTGAAGCTTTTTGTGGAAAACAGGATATATACTATTAATTATACCTTCATAAATCATAGTTCTAGATAATCCTATGGCACACTTTTTATGAATTAAATTTTAAAGATCCCCTGTTTGGAGAGATAAAAATACTAAACTGAAAATAAGCTGGGTGGGAGCAAAATGTGTCAGTTTTCTACACTGCTATTTAAATACCATGTGAACAAAGGGGTAAGGTATTAAAAAAGGGACATATTTTTGTCTGTGAGAATGATGACTAAACTAAGTGATATCACTTAAAAAAAAATAAGCTCCCAGAAATTGTTTAGTGTCTAGACAGTTACTGAAAAATTTAGCTTACTTGGAGTTTAATACAATTAAGGTAAAAATTACTCTTAGGTCTACTCATTTTCAGGCTGTGTGTGAATGCCACTTTGTTTTGATTATGTTGCACAGCTTATTTTTATTTATTTAATCTATGCAAGTCAGGAGTCTCTAAATCTGCCATGATCTTAATCTAAATTTACAATAAATATAAGTAACTATTCTGCATACTTCATAGGTTAAAAAAATTACCATGCAACTCTCACACTCCTGGTTTTCCACCATTTCTTTTAGATGTGTGTTTTCAGATTTGATAACTTGGTAATGGAATTCCAACAACTAGGAAAAGATTAAGTTCATAGTTAAATACAAGAATATTACTCTCAATTGGAATAACTCTGGGTATGGATATATTTAAGCTTAATTTTACAAAATGTACATTAGGAATTACAAAACCTACTGTAATATTTTTAAATGTAGCAATACCAATGTAGGAAGAAGTATTAAACCATCTATAAAAGATATAAAAATGCAATGCCTCTAAATTTATTTACCTTTTTGAAAGACATAATGACTTAGGAAAACAAGAAGTTCAAATGCAGTTACTACACAGAAATAAGGACAGATTTTACAAGCCACTGAAACTGGATGAAATCCTCTTCATGACGTCTAGAAATAATATCTACTCTTTTAGTGATTTGGAAATACCTTGTAAAGAGTGCCACACAACAAGAGATATCTCTCATTTTCCCAAATACTAACTTTGCTATTATCTAAAATATTACTTCAATCAGTTTTCCACACATAGTGACCCTCTCAGAAACCGTAGAGATACCCAGAAACCTCTAAATATGATTGTTCTTTTGTTTTACAAACTAAGTAATGAAGATTACAAATCTGTTTATAAAACAAAAATTTGCCACCAAGATCCCCACTGTATCTTACAGTTTCCAGCTATAAAATTACTCAAATTTTCTATGCAGATTTGTAACATTCTTCAAAAACCTTTAGAAAACACTGAAAAATGAGAAACTTAAAACATATGTAATTACCACAAACTGCAAGTTTTCAAGATCTTTTAGATGTTAAATGGTAACTAGATGTGATGGTCAGAACAAATTTCAATTTAGATATACAGTTGACATTTACTGGTGATTTCTTGTTCCAGTATCAATTTGGCTGCTTTTGTAATACTTCACAGATATTACAGCACCACTGATAAAAACTACAGCAAGAAATGTGATGTCTTTTTTTCCACAGATAATGAATGTCATTATCAAGAGTGTGGAGTAAAATGATGTGGGCTGCTTTGCCTACTTGCATACCTGTTGTTTAGTTAACAATTTGTGTTTTGTCTCTAACTCCATTTTTAACTGTCTTTCCAGAAGACTAGCTTTCTCCATGATAGTTGCTATAGTGATCTCCGTCTGATGAAGCTCCTCTGTCAGGTCAGAGATTTCTGTCTTCATTCTTTCCTGCTCAGAGCAATGGGACTGCTCTTCTCGATAAACATGGTTTCTTATCTGTAGCAAATACATTTCAAAAAGAAAAAATGCTGTGCAGTAAATATGATTGCATGACGTGCTACTTATCAGTGACTTTTTCTGCTATTGCTTCCAAGACACCAACTCTTCTAACTGAATCAGAGATTCTGAGATTGTAAAACAAAATGTCTCTGGAAGACAGTGCAGAGAAATCTGTTTATTTTTACATCCTTTTTTTCAACATTTCTTTTGTACTTTCATTTGCCTATTTAATATTAAATAGGCATTAAAATATTTAATATTAGAAATGAACAAAATACAATACACTTCAATTAACCTCTTAAAAGAAAGTAATAAAAATTATGTTAAGAATTGGAATTTATGGTAAAGAATATCCTAGGTAATATCCATTCAATAAATTTAAGTACTATTTATTTATACAGCACGTAAGTTAAGTGAGGTTTAAAAACAGTTTGACAAAGCTTAAATTAACTTAGGAGCAATATAAGTACATTAATCTAGAGGTTCTTTAATAAGAAATGGTGCTAGAAATAAAGGGTATATATGGCAAATCACTTTATGAGAATTTTTTCTGCCATTAAGGTCAAACTTTCTTCAATACCGCCTATGTAGAGTTCTCCAAAGTATCAACACAAAAATTGTTTTCCTAATCTTTCTACTATAGCCAACAATTTGGTACTGACAGATTTTTTATTGTGTAAGAAACAAAACAACAAAAACCAGCATAACAACCTTTGAACCCATTTTAACAACTTTTAAAGTACTATATATGAGTAACAGATTGCATTTCATTTTTATTTATGCGAACAGCACAGAAATATTAGAATTGTCAAAAACTAGATGTAGATGCAAAAAACCTAGGAGCTAGATCATAACTGCCATGCCAAAACTGGTGAACCCAACTCAATGCATCAAAATAGAGACATTCAAAACCCACTTGGCATGCATTCCTGTAACCTGCTCTAGGTGGCAGGGGGTTGGATCCTTTCAACCGTAACAATTCTGTGATTTCTGTTTACATTGCTGCTTGGCAAAACCACAACATGCTTGTAAGACAAATTCTGAGCATCCTCTACTTCCAAAGTATTTCAGCCTGCCAAGCCATACACCATGCCACAGTGTCATGCCATGCTGCTTGCTCACAGCACTTTTGGAAATGTGCAACACAATGTGATGCATTGTTCCAATGTGAGAGCTGTGCTGTGCAGCAGGTACCTGATTAAGCTTAGCCTTGTGTGAGTATCTGCCACAGTGACTTGAATCAGTTATCTGTTTGCATATCCTACCTCTGAGACCACCTACAAATTACAGCATAGCTCTACAGGCTAATAATTAATCAGAGCTTTGGAGGCTTTCTTAGTTGCATGGTATTATCTGTATCACAGTAATGTGTAGGCATGGTCTCTTCCATCATTTCAATGAAGTAGATAGGCACAGAATCAGAATGCCAGTTTTACAGCTACACAACTAATTGCAACCATATATGAAATCTTTTTCATATAAAAAAACTTAAGCTGTCCTGAACCTACAATGCATCCTCCTGCTCTCTACAGTATATGCACATACCCTAGGTCAGTACTCTCTCCTAAAAATCCTGTACTGCAGTTAAGACCTGGAAATTATATGAAATACCTTGTTCAGCTCTTCTTTGTGTTCTTGACTTCCTGCAAATAGCAATAACTCAGTGTTTTTATTTTCTAGTTGCTCAGTAAGCTGAACATGAGATGATTGATGCCTTTAAGTAAGAAAGAAACAAAACATGAAACAACCAGAACATTCAATACTCTTTACCTTGCAGTATCCTCTCCACAGTGTAAAACTGTAGAACTGCTTGCTGATGAAAAAATACCCCCAAACATAACCACCATTTGGCCTAAACCAGGCTGGATTTTGGGAGACGTCTAGAAATTAAGGACAATACAACTATGTGCAGAAAGAATCCTGAAAGCTCCTCTAGACTGGTATTTCATGTATTTTGAAATGGCAACAGCAGATTAGATTAGCCACAGAATCATGACAATTTTATTCAAAGGAGGTTAGGGAGAATCTTAACTGCATTGTTTCCAAAGTGTTTTAAAGCTGAGAAAATGAAAGACTGTAAAGATATAGGTAGAAATATAGGTAGAAATATCTGAAATGTGTTGATTTGTAGAAATCTAGGCATCATTAAAGCCTTTTAACAGAGTCTGCATCTGTTGCCTAAAATTGTGTGATATAATTGTCAATGAAAATATCCAGTGTACAATTTAGAAGCTGACATTTGAATCCTGAGTGTCTTTTCAAACAGGCTTAATTTAAAACAAATGTAAGAAAAAAGTTATTAGCTCAGAAGTACTTGTTAATTTAAATATGTCTTCACCATCCATACTTTATTTCAATTTCCTGCATATCTTTATACTCTTTGATTTTCAGTAGTTCTGTATACAATTTTTGGTATTCCACTTGTATCCTTCTCCAGAGACCATCCCTTGACTGCAGCTCATTTCTCATTTCTGAGACGTCTGCCTCCATGTTCTAAAGAAACAAGCAAATGGGCGAACAGTTAAATAAAATTTAACCAGCTGTTAACCAGCCTTAAATGCTGGGTTTTGACACATCATATTCAATACCTGTACATACAAGATTTAAATTTCTGAAAAACATATTGCTTCCATGTCATTTCCTCTCATCTAAAAATCAGATTCTGAATATGTTTTAGCCCTTGCAACGTACCAATGTATCTGCCTCTGAAATTACCATCGGAAACGTAATTCAGAAGTTCTTCATTGTACTAAATGCACCTAAAATATATAGCTTGCTTGTTTTAGAAGGTTCTGCATCATGGAACATGTTTCACATGCCAGAATTGGTGTCTTAAGTGGCTTCCATTTTCTATTTTCCTAACAGCATTTCCAAATTTATAAACTTTAGAAACTACAAGGCCGCATAAATCTTCTTCAAAGCTAGTTCCATCTGCAGGGAGTTAATTGCTCATTTAAATGAACATCACAAAATTTTCAAACAATCAAAAAAAGATTTTTCTTAGGAAATTGACAAACCTTTTTCTTTTTTATCTTTAATTTCTGATTGATCATGTGTTAGGCAACCTGAAGACACATACTACATTTGGCATGATAAAACATGAAGACCAGAAAAATATACTGAAAACATACTAAATATAAGAAATTGGAAATATAACCCACAAATAACAAAAGTTATTTAAATAATAATCAGTGCTTGCAACAGTAACATCCAGAAAATATGTATTGCTTCTCACCTAAGATCCAAAAGCATTAAAAAAAGATTTTTCCAAGGATACTGATCCTTTACCTTTCAAACTATTACACCAAAAACATTCACATTTTTCCTAATTTCTTCATTTTATCTGAATATAGCTTCCATCTTTAAGAGCAAAAATAAAGCCTTTAAAATTTCAAAAGAGAACTGGATTCCAGAAACTGCACTACAAGAAAGAACTTCAAAGGTTTATTTCCCTTAGAGCCTCCTGTGAGAATGACCCTCCTTCCAAGAAGCCTGTGGTCTTCCTCTTGCTGAAAGGGTTGCTGAGAACAGATATGAAGTGCTTTTGCATTTTTTGGACTCTTTTAGGGGGGCTGCATATATGGACTCATTCATCTTATCCTTTGTTACATTAAGGGCCAAGAGAGCTTTTTTAAACATCAAAATGCAATTCTGTGTATATTCAAGTGAAATAAAGCTTAATGAACTGTTAAAGTTGTTGGTAAGACTTGCTTATACTCATCTTCATGACTCCAGCATTCAAGAAATAGCCACAATTGTTTTATAACATATGAATATGGGAGATGGTTAGTTACCCTTCTGATTTCATTCTGGCGTGGATAAGGAAAATGAATTCCACACAATTGTGTGGCAGAAGTAAAATTTTCTGTGATAGACTGCTGTCATCACACGTATTTACATAAATTGTATTTTCATGTGAATTAAAATAGTAGCAGGAGCAACAGCAGTCACAGCAGCAGCTGCAATAATAATTGGCAGAACTTCAGGTCAAGAGTTTCACAGTTTTACATATCAGTTAAAAAAATTAGTTATGCATCACTTACAATTTTAGAAAGTATGTATTGCATCTGGTTAAAATGAAAATTAATTTTGAAGCAGAAAACTTTACGATTTGTTTAGAAAACATCTCATATAGCCTGCCTTTTTCAAATTGAAAAAAACATTAAATCTTTTATTTCCTTCTGTGAAAAGTTTTGCTTCTACTAGCTTCCCAATCAAAACAAAGTCCCAAAAAGTTCCTGATCAGCTCTTGTTCTAATTCTACTCAAAGCTCTTTGTGGTGTGTCAACCCTGACTGGATGCCAGGTACCCACCACTGCCAGTCTGTCAATGCCTTTCCCAGCTGGACAGGGTGGAGAAACAAGAGAAATGCTCTTGGGTTGAGATAAGGACAGGGAGAGATCACTCACCAGTTACCGACAAGGGCAGAACAGTCTCAACTCAGAGAAATTAATTTATTGCTAATAAATTAGAGCAGCTTAATGAGAAATAAAAACCTAAGTCTTAGAGCACCTTCTCCTCATGCCTCCTTTCTTCCCAGGCTCAACTTCACTCCTCAGTTCTCCACCTCCTTGCCTCCAGTGCTGTAGGGATATGAGGAATGGGGGCTGTGGTCAGTTCATCACACCTTGTATGCTGCTCCTTCCTTCTCGGTGGGACTCCTCACACTCTTCTCCAGCTCCAGTGTGGGTTCCTCCTTAGGGAGATGGTCTTCCATCAATTTACTCATAGTGTGTCCTTCCCATAGGCTGAAGTTCTTCATTAACTCCTCCAGTATGACTTCATTCTATGGAGTGCAGCCTTTCAGGAACAGGCTGCTCCACTGTGGGTCCCCAGGGGCTCCTAAGTCTTGCCAGCAAGCCTGCTCCAGTGTGGGCTCCTCTCTCCACAGGACCACAGGTTTGTCACAAGCTTGCTCCAGCACAGGCTTCCCACAGTCTCCTTCAGACATTCCCCTGCTCTGTCTGGGTCCCTCCAGGGGCTGCAGGTGGATCTCTGCTCCATAAGAACCTCCATGGGCTGCAGGGGCACAGCTGCCTCACCATGGGCTGCACCAGGGGCTGCAGGGGAATCTCTGCTCTGGTGCCTGGAGCACCTCCTGCCCCTCCTTCTGCACTGACCTTGGGTCTGCAGGGCTGTTCCTGTGACATATTCTCACTCTTCTCTCTCCACTGCACAGGGTTTTCCCCCTCCTCTAAAATACATTAACCCCAAGGTGCCACCATCACTGCTGTTGGGCTCAGCCTTGCCCAGCAGTGGGCCCATCATGAAACCGGCTGGCATTGGCTCTGTCAGATACGGGGGAAGCTTCCAGCAGCTTCTCACAGAGGCCATCCCTGGAGGGCCCCATTACCAAAACCTTCCCAACACAAATCCAATACACTGCTCAATATTTTAAATACAATTATATGGTGCATTTTAATGTAAAGTAGTGTCCAGCACCTGACCTAATGCTGACTTTTCAAGAACCAAGCCCCTTGTGTGATGTTCTCAGGTTACCTCTCATGTTATGGCTGCAGATAAGTCTGTCAGATAATTCACAAAGTAGAGAAATAGAATGCAGTCTCCATTTACGTATTTTAAATTTTGTATTTTCTGTAAAGTCAAAAAGCTGGTCTTCCATACATTTTATTTTATTATTTGCTAATTAATAGTATAAGTGAAATAATTAGAAGTACACATGAAATGATCATAGGCATAGAGGAATATATGAGGCACAACAATTCTTGCTCTCATTGCCATCACAGTTCTCCACACCAAGATTCCCATCCACTCCTTCCTCCTTTACCTATATCATGTCCAACTACTGCCATCCTCCACCTGATTCTCTCTCATACAGGCCTGCTTACCTTTTCTGGCTTACAACAAGCCTTGCATTTTCTTCTTTCTCATACAGGCATTCCTAAAAAAATATCTTCCCTTAGCTACCCCTTTTCACCATACATTGACATCAGTGTTTCCCTTATGCATCTATTTCCAAATGCAGCTTTTCTAACCAACATAGCAGCATTCCACACCACCAACACAGTTATTCTGCAACTTTCTGCCCTTTAGATGACACTGTTATGTACATCTCGCTCCACTTCTACTTAAAGTGTCTCCAAGCTTCCTACAGCTCCTGTATTCTCTTGAATACATGATTCCTAAATTCTTCATGCTTGAAGATTTTCTTCAAGGCTACAGCACAATCTCTCCATTGTACAGCATGTATCCACTTGCTCCAACTGCCATGATTTGTTCCACTGCATATTCTAGTCCCACTGCTATAGGTGGCAGCCTTTTTAACAGGCCCCAAAACAGAAGTTTTGATTGCACACTGATAACTTGTTTACAGGCAAAAGATTCAGTGAACTAATGTGCAAATGGCATGTATAAATGTGGCTCTTCTCACAACACCTGACAACACAATCTGAAATTAACCTCTGCCATGTATATGCTAATTCCTATAAAGTATATTGCATATGCTGTTAGCACTCTGCAAGATTGTCTATAAACAGAAATAAATCTTGCTCCAAAAAGATTTGAAGTTGCTAGAGGCCATTCAATATATTACTGAACCTAGAAATGCTTAAATAAATAAGCAAAAGCATAACTGGTATATGTTACCAGAAAAAAATATCCACGAGAATCTCATTCCTGATATGTTTCAAACAGAGATAATAAAAAAAGTTGTAAAGATGTTGTATTATCTCAATCTTGTCAGAACTCATATACCATGACCAAAAGAAGGGGAGCAAATGGTTGTCTTCATAGATCAGTGCTATGATGAAAAACAGTAAACTAGGGATAAGATAAAACCTGATGGTTCTTTACATGGCCAGAAACTTAATTTTTTTAAAAAATTGACTGCATAGTCTTCTTTCAAAACTAACAAAGCATACCATTCATGTTTGTATATACTTATTTACTAGCTATATCACACAATGAACAACAAGATAAAGAGATTTCACAGAAATCATTTATATACAAAGAACCAGACTAGGGGAAGTTCATGTAGATCCCATGGATATAGAAGAGTTATAAAAACCTAGATACACAGACAAGAGAAAAAGTATACCACTACAAATCAAACTTATATCTGTTTTACTAAAAACAAACAACCCATAATGTTCTCATATTATTCTGTGTTCATGCACAAAATATACCTAATGTACATTTATGTAGGCATCTCATTTTGATTTTCCAACATTAATCTGTAATCATCATAAAAAAACTATTACTACCTGGCACTGATTTTGGTACATTTTTAGATCCTCACGGAGTTTCATATTTTCTTCTACTAGTTCATTCTTGTTTCTTGCTATTTCATTCACAATTGCCTTTAGCTTTTCAATAATCAAATCATCATTTTCACTTTTGGACTGGGTATAGGTAATTAGCTCTTCTTGGTTTTGCTTCTTATTGCATATTTGGAGTTGATAATTCTGGGTGTGCTTCTATAAAACAAGAAAATATTTTAAATTAAACTCAATTATTGTATGTAAATTGCTAGGACCAAACCATTACTACTGGTAAATCATAAGGCTATACTCATCTTCACCTGGATTTGCTTAGAAAAGATGGCACAATTCAAACAGTTTGAATTACTTGCCTTCAGTAAAAAAAATGTTTCAAGAACCTTCAAGGGCACGGGAGTTTTTCAAGGATCTTTTTCTCCTGTACTGTGTATTTTCCTAGTACTTAATGAGCCTCAAACGTGAAAAAGGTGATTATGATGACCTACTCAAAGCAGTTACCTGTGAGAAATAATTTGAGAGAAATGTTCTTCTTTGATTCATTGAACTCAGTAGGAGCTGTATGTGTGTGTGTGCCTCATGATAGATATTAACCTTTGACTAGAGGGCTACCATTACATAGGTCATGTACAAACAGCTCAGTTACTACAGAAACTGTACTTCTTTGAGATCATTATCCTTAAACTTGGGGAAGAATAATTCATACATTCGGCAGACTCCTACACCCCATGCAGCTTTTTGCACCAATTAAAATCCTAAAAACAAAACTTCAGAAAATTGGTATTGCCAGTATTTCTGAATCCACAGGCATTGTGAAGAAGCATAATTACTATGGCAACTGTTTTTGCTGTTTAAAAAACTATCCACATGAATCCCACTACTTGGAGATTAACAAGCAGCACTAATCTTTCAGAAGACTGAGAATTACTTGAAAAATGACAACAAAATACAACCTGGAAATCATATATCATGTGCAGAGATCAAGTTGGGCAAGAAAATATAAAGTAAAAATAAATAGAGTTACAAATACCCAATATTTCACTGACAAGGACTGCAAGAAGTCATAGTTTAGACAGTTTTTGACATTATTGACTATATCCCCATAATTTGTGTTGGCTGAGAACCCAAGTAGAATGGACCACTAGCTGCATATCAAATAAAAAGCAAAAATAATTGGCTTCATTTCTATTGATAAAAAAATAAGGTCCCTTTGACATCCAAGTTATGGACTTGGATATACCAAAGTGTCAATGCATCCTGTGAAAAATATAGTGCAAAACTCCAAATAGAAATCAAAGATCTTATGAAAGATGAATTTGCGGCAAAGATGCAGGAACAATTAACACTTTTGAAACAGCTAAGGGTAACAGTCTATCAGACTTGTACTTCAAAAAATAGTAGGTGTTATGTTACAGTTGTGAAGGAAATTGTCTTCAAAGCCAAGTTCGCTGATGGCAATGAAAGCTTCAACAGAAAAATGTGAATGATCACCCTGAGTACTCTATTTTGACTTGTCTAACTGTACAATCAACATGTCATCAGTAAATTGTCTAGTCAAAGACTTGCTTTTTGAACACATTTGTATGGAAGTGCAATTGCTGGAATATAATGCTCTCAGCAGCTAAACCCAAAACATAACTGCAATCCTTAGAAACTCTGGATATGTGTAAAGAGTCTCATAGGAATTGTTAAGAAAGTGTTTCACTAGATTAAGATCCAATGAGCTTAGTAACAGTGGAAAACGGAATCAGTGAGCAACATAATTGGCTTCCCCTTACTTAATTTTCAAGCTGTCTTGTGGCCCAGTCAATTTGTAAGCTTTTTTTTGGTTTTTTATTTTAGAGAAGGATACATCATCAGGACATTATTTAATTAAATGTTTTTCTGGATTAGAAGGAATTAAAAAATAAAAATATGCAGTATCAATAGTCCATATATAAAAAAAGCAATAAACAAATTGACAAGTAGAAAATAATCATAAAGTCAACCAAGGAACTGCATGGTAACTAAAAGGCTGAAAAAATATGAAAAAAGGGGCTAAGTGATCCAACAAACAATGCCAAGACTGATTCTGGAATAGCATATGAAAATTTGTTTTTCTGCATAAATGATACTAGCGTATATTTATGATCTTAAAAAAAATGAAGGCTATCAGATTTGAAGGAACTTTATACTTGCATTAACACCTTAATGGCATGCAGTACTTACTTGGTAAGATACTTTGTAATAACTTGTCACACTTAATTGCATATTAGTAAATAGCATGGAAAAGTATCTCCATAATATGCTTAAAAAGTAAAAAGGAACATTCACTGTTTTTTGTAATTGTTTCCTTTTTTTTTAAAAAAAAGAAATGTTATCATTTTCATCATGATCCTTATTCATTTTCTCATTTTCATGAGAACAATTAAATGAAAATAAGATCATGTATCATTAGATCTTCCAGTATGGTTCTGCCTTATCATATATTCACTACCAATATAGACATGCATTGTAAGATTCACTGTAAGCTTAGTTTTTAAAAATTAAGTTAAAGTAAGCTCTAGGTGAGCAGAGTTCATTTTCTTCCTAGAACAGGAAGGTAGGAATCTTACCTGAAATAAATTACATTTCTCAGGCAATAATTTTGGTTGCATATCTACATAAACAGAATTATTTACACAGGTTGTCCCATTCTCCCATTCTTGTGATTTTGCCTTATATTCCTGAAAGATAACAAAACAAGGCAAGTAAACATAGAGAAAATACTTAATCTCCTCAATCTAATTTTTTTTAAAAATTTTTATCGTTCTAAGAAATATCTGGTTTTTAAATTAATACATAATCTTTCCATAATTTTGGAAAGAAGTTAAAGGAAAGAACAATTCTATAAACCAGCCATCCAGTCATCCCCACCAGAAAAAGACAAGTCTTAAGGGCTATTGATTTGAGAGCAATGAGTGTAAACATAATAATTGAATAAAAACTATAAAATATTAGAATTATTACTATGATACACAAATTTTATTGGATAGTTGCTCCTGTGACTTTAAAGCTATATCGGTATTGAGCAGGGTAATCAGCAGGGAATCAAACCCTTAATATTCAGGCACAAAGTGCTCACTTTTTACTTCTTGCTCTCTTTAAAATTAGTGCTTCAGGTTCTGAGTTCATCTAGTTTAAACAAAAAACTGTTTAAGAAATTCTATTATATTAGATTTATCTAATATTGTTTTTGTATTTGCACTTACATTCATATTTATAGTGTATCTGAATTTGCTTTAAACTCATGCCAAACCTTATATGTACACGAATACATTTTGAAGGCAGTATTCTAAAAATAAGCAGAACTTCAGTTACTAGAACTGTTGCTCTTTTAGTCTGAAAATTTAGTGAGATAACAGTACACTGATTTATATATTGAAAACAAATGGAAATGTTGTTCCAAAAGGGCAGATGATATTTTATAATTAAACTAAACTGGCGTATTCCCCAAATTTAAAACAATAAGGGTTTTTATGGCTACTGAAAAAAACTATTTCTCAACATAGAGGATTAATACAAATCTTCTTTCATAGCTGCCCTAATATCTGCTTTGACATTTAAAACAATACACATCTTCCTATTTTATAAAACATGATACAAATGGAGTTTCAGACTACTTAATGAGGACTGCAGGTTCAAGGCCTTACTAAAGCACTGCTGAGCTTAGTAGATTTTCATCACAGTAATTATTTCCTGAATACTTGAATTTGCTGAATATATTCCAAGTACTCATTTTTCATACTGCATAATTAATCAAATTATAGCATTGTCTTACATTATTTTCACATTTTAATCTTGAGTAAGGCTATTCTCAAGTTAGTTGACAGTAGTGATATATCAAGGATAGATGTACAATCCATTTATTATTTTTGTAGTAGCTGATGTTGGCATGAGTTGACATGAAGCTATGCTGCAGTCCAAAGCATTGTAGCTTTTCTGATGGTGAGAACTCCCATGTGGAAGAGACAACCAACGTCATGTAGAGCTGGGATGTGTCTATGTAGACACAGGAACCTGAAGGTCACAGAAGTCAGTCCTAGATCTTATAGAATAACATAAAAGGCAAGTCCAAAACACAGATCCTAAGACCCTGTTTAATATGGGTTAAAAGTAGGATTTACTTAAAATCTTCTAGAGCTGAATTTCTTGATTGCAAAGTCCTCAAAGTGTCCAAATCATCTACATCATAAATCTACATCATAAATGCCTAAGTCTACCCAATGCTTAGCAGCTGGGCAGGCAGCTCCCATATCACCTAGTACCACCCTCCTTGCTTTGCCTACAGCACCCAGCACAGTAAGCATGTGGAGCACACACTACTTCATTATGCTCTTCACAAAGTATGGACAGAGAAAATATGAATTTTGTGATCGTTCTATGCTTCATCAGATTACTGGTTAGACTGTTCTTCCCATAAATGGAAGACTCAGTGTAAAAATCTTTCAAGACAGAACCTGAAGTATAATCTTCCCATGTTAGTTTTATACCTATCAGACAAATGTTATTTTTCAACAGGCTCTGGAATTCTTCCTTTTGAAGTTGTTTCATTTAGCTCAGGATATCAGGAAATTTATTGGATAGGTAAAAAAGAAGCAGCAAAAATTAGCATACCTAGACACTATATTGCTCAGTTTTAAGAGATAACTGGATGTCAGTTTCTGCCCCAGTGAATGCAGAAGAGTACTTGGAGAGAAGACACCACCTGGGCACACACTCTCTACAAGTTCTCTGTCTTACCTAACTTTCCTTTTTGTCCAATAAATACCTGATTATTCTGCAGATCATAAAGTAACCTCTGAGAAGTCAAGGCTAGGAATTAAGAATAAAAATCAGCATCTTCCCATATTCAAGAATAAGTCCAATAAAATCCAGCCCGTGTCCAAAGGGATAGGGAATATGACTGAATCCTGTCCTCAGCATCTGTTATCTACCCCCTCAGTCACTATGCTGGATTCTGGAGGATGTGTTTATAAGTGCCTAATCCTTCCTCATACATTGCCCAGGGAAATCAGGCACTGAGGTCAAGGTCACAGATTGCCTCAGGCATATGGGTGCTGACAAGATGCATGTGTAACAAGCAGTTTTCCAATCCTAAATCCTTTTTTCTGTGTAGACCAATGTGGTCAAGGTTGTCCTGAGGTCTATAAAACTTGAATTAATGGTAGGTATTGTGTGACAGTATCGTGCATATGTATAAGCTCTCATGCCTCAAGAGACTGTGTTATCCAGTACACATCTATTCACCAGGAAAACAGTAAAATTTATTTATAGTTACACTTACAGAAAAAATTGGTATTAAATACTATTAAAACTAAGAACCATTCTTGCCAAAGCAAGACAATGATACAATTTTTGTACAATTATGAGTGAAATAAAGCTTACAATTTCAAATCAAAAATTAGTTCTAGAAGCATAATAAAATTAAAATATAATGTCATACAATTCTTACCTCCAGTTTCATGTATAAATTCCTTGGGTTAGATGATGTCTCCAGGTTTTCCTCATATTTTTCTCTACTTTTGAGCTTTTTTTGTTTTAACTGATGTGACTGTAGCTTTTCATAACTATGTGTCAATCTTGAGAACTAAAATCAAAAGTTAGAGTTCAATATGCAGAATCTATCAAGGATGACCACATGGCCAAAGTTTTCTTAAAATTAGAATCACCAACTGCTGCTTTAGTATTCTAAATGTTTGATCAATGTAACAAAAAAATCAATTAATAAAGTTAAAATCAATTAATAAAGTTGTCACAGATGAACAAGACTAAGCTCTCATATAAATGTTAACTGTTCCAATGAGTTCATTTGACAGCTACTTAATTCCACCGGAGTTCTCCATGGCACTGTCACCCACAGAGTCATTTCCTCTACAGTGTTCATATGGAATGTTCTATACTTGTTTACTGCCATCTTGTGTTGACATTTTTAAAGGGTGCTTCACTAGTCAGAATGATTATCATTAATGTACTCTGAACTTGTGTGTTTCTTTCTTATGATGAAAATTGTTAAAATGCTGTCTGTGATGATTGCAGTCTTCTGGTATCACTGAGTGGGTCTCAGAATCAGACACTAAATAGACAACAGACACTGCCTACTGATGTCACCATGAAAGCCTGGCTTAGGAGTCAGAGGCACAGAAGAAAAGGTACCAGGGGAAGGACCAGCCTCTCCAGAAAAAGAGCCAGTTTTTACATCAGTTCACTACACTGCACAAAACAAAGGGTGTCTCTGATAAGAGATTTGATACAGAACAGCAATACTGTTTGGTAGGAACGTGTACATTTGGTTTTGAAAAAAAAAATAAAATGCAAACCCAAGGATATTGATAAAGGAAGCACTACAAATATGGTCTTGAGGAAAGGTGAATGAAAGAACTTGGGGAAGAATATCGTGCAGAAAAGAAGCTTACAGTAGATACTGATCTTGTCTCTTGCTATTTAGTTCCTTTACATTTAAGTATAAGACTTAAAAAAGAACCTGACTCTCACATAAAGTTTTTTGTATACCCAAACAAAATCCACAAAATCTCATAGTTTTGTTAACAGCTCAAAGTGAACTGTTATTTGGAAACGGAATGGAATCCTGTTGAGTCAACACTGAATAAGCAATTGAGGTCTGTTCAGACAACAAACAAGGCCAAAGAAGTCCAGAAAAGATACAGAACAGAAACTAATTAAAAAATAATCTGCAAACTTCCTAGATACATTTGAGATGAACTTGAGAATCATAACATGGGACAGCAAAAACTAATTGAAAAGCTAACAAAAAGACAGATTATCCTGGATGAGAAAATTCCATTATATGAAGAGGCCCAGGCACAGATTTCACGAACCTGGAATGTCTGAATAGCAATTCTGTAACATGGGCACACAGAGCTGAGTTATCACCTTCAAAACCAAATCAAAAGTCTTGCAGTGGAGCTGCCTATATATGAAATTGACTTTGCCAGAGAACAGAGTTAAGATAAAATATTTAAAATGAGTCAGAGTATCCAGGCTCAAACAACATGGAACTCATTGACCTTGGAAGAAAGATACTCTTTTTCAAATAACAGTTTTGCTCTTGAATATATTATGGCATGTGTGAACTGCCTGGGAAGACTAAATTCAGATAAGACAGGTATTGGAATGTTTATGCTAAAAAGGTTAAGAAATACAACAAATCAGTAAATCAATCTAAAATGGAACAGAGTGGCCAAAATGTGAAAATTTAGTCTGAGTCTTTTTAACGACAGAAGGATATTGAAGGCAAATTATAGTCTGGATATTATGATGACTGGAAACTAGACTAAAAGACAAAACCCCTTCCATTAAAGGCCAGATATTTGTTTTAAAAGGTTCAAGTTTTTCTACTTGCATGTTGTACATGTTATAAAGAAAAAAAGAAAAAAAAAAAGGCATTTTAGTGAGTTCTGGGGTAGAATCGATTTTAGTTTAGATTTCTGAAAGTTTGACATACAAGCCTGAGATACTCTGCATCAGAAAAAGCTGCCTGTAAAATGCTTAGTCATTTCAGCTGTCTTAAATTCTTGTCATACACTGGCATGAATAGTATTCTGGGGGTGTCCATTTCTTTCTGTAGATTCTAAAGGAAGCCCGGGATAACTCAGATGTAGCTTTTACATGTCTAAGTGAGGAAATTAGTTGCAAACCTCTTAGAGCAAGAATGATTCAGTCTTCTTTTGCTGAGAGATTTCCATCACTTTCAAAGAGAGAATAACTACTAGACATTAATATAAAAAAAAGAAAAAAAGAAAAAAAGAAAAATAAGAATCAAAGTAATGATGATACACCTTGAAAGCTTTTGCTATTTAGTTATGACAAAATGCTGCATGTTTGAATGAATGCAGCAGTGTGGCCTAGGAGTTTCAGATTACGTACCAGGAATTATTTCCCTGATACAAGAAAAATGTAGATTTTACTGCATTCGAGAGGCATACAGTCAATTCAGAGGGAATACTGCTCATTAAACAGCTGGTTTTAGCAGTACCAAGGGAAAAAAGCACAAAGGACCACAGAAAAGAAATTTATTCTGAATAACCTAGCATTCTGATAGCTAGAAAAAGCGATCCTCACTATTTCTATCAAGATGAGGAAGGAACAAATCTTGGGAGGGATTTTAAGAATACACCTCTAGAGAGAGATACAATGCTATTGGTAAACAGTAACACACTAGTTTAGTTTTTGTGCAAAACTAAATTGTAGCTTGTAAGATTCTACAGTTCAGAAGGTGGTATAACTTCCAAGTGAGAATAAGAACCGAAAGAAGGGGATCAAAGGAGATAAGGCAAAGATTCATATTGTCAAAAAAGGTCTGTATTTTATATATGAGTTTGTGTAGCTGAGAATTGGGGACATTAAAGTCATTCCACTGCAGACACTGCAGCACTTTAATTCAGGAAAGAAACTCAATAAGGAGATGTGCAAAAGCTAGAGGAGCAGAGTGGGACAGTCCTACTGTCTAGCATAGGTGCTAGGAAATGTTCTGATGGGCAGACTTCTGTTTATCACATAGAGAATCAAGGCAAGCCCCCCAACACAGGCATTCAACAGTTTTCCAGCCAAGGTGAACGAGGTGGATATTTCATGAAGAAATAAGGTTTGTTCAAAGGAGAGGAATGGAGACTGGAAAATAAAATGCAAACAGCATCAGTGCTGGAACCTTTAGAAAAATAAATAGGATAACTGAGGGAATTAAATGTTTGGAGACATGGATTGGGAAGGTGATGTATATTCTTAGGGGTTAGAAATCCAAAGTTCTTGCATAAAGACAGAAGAAGAAGCAACCAAGAAACTCAAAGAAAGGTTAAGTGGTCTGAGAGGTTTGCTAAAAAGGAGAATTTGGGCAAGAAATATAACCAGGTTTAAAGAGAAAAGCTAGTAGGTTAGAAAATGTCAGGTTCTTTAAAAAAATAAAAGAGAAATGAGGTTGCATTTGCCCATGGAAAGGGTAATTGAAAACTCTAAAATAAAAAATCTTTATGAAAAATAGCCTGGACTTTCAATTTCAGAAGGTTCAATTTTAGTGAAGATATTACCAAAAATGTGAAATATAAACGCAAGTATTTTTAGCATGAGATAAAAATAATTAATAAATGAAAAATATTGCAGAAAATGTTATAAAGAAGAGAGGTGTGAGGATAGTTCTGCATTGCTAAAGATACCTTACTACTTATGCATAAAATGTCACACTTTTTCATTGTGTGTTTATCTTCTCAATAATCATGCTAAGATGAAGATTTTCTGTAGTTCTGCAAATTATAAACTAGATTTTATTTCTAGCTACTTTCCCAAATGATTAAAAGTGATAATTACAAAACAGCCAAAGCATTCACTGCCTATTTACAGAAATGGTTTCCAAATCCTTTTTCATATGTAAAAGAAAATAGAAAGACAACATAACCTTAAGAATAAGTAATACATTTATTCATCTGATGGACCCAGGTGTACTACCACTTCTAAATGAAAATAATGATATTCAATTTATGCAATCTGACTTTACTATATAATAAGCGTGGTGATTGGAAATTCTGAATTATATCACTATGTCTCTGGTAGGAGAATCCAGTGAAGGGAACAGAAAAGTAGCAGGAAAAACAATGCAGAGTTGTGTACTTTAGTTGTTAAAATCTGAGAAACAGAATCAACTTGAGTTTGCTAAGAGTTTAGATTCATGATTGAAGTAGAAAATACTGAAGAAACAAAAACACAGGTGCAGAGCAAACACAGCCAAACTGAATCATAAAACCATAGAATTATTTGGGTTGAAAGGGACCTTTAAAAGATCATCTAGTCTAGCTCCCCTGCCTTAAATAGGGACATCTTCCATTAGACCAGCTTTCTCTAAGCCCCATCCAGTCTGGCCTTGAACACTTCCAGGAATGGGGCATCCATAGCTTCTCTGGGAAAAATGTTCCAATATCTCATCACCCTCACTGAAAAAAATAATAAATTGTTCCTCAGGTACAATCTAAATATGCACTCATTCAGTTTGAAACCCTTGTCCTTTCTTTCAGCCTGTCTTCACTGGAGAGATGGTCCAGAACCCCCTGATCATAGCCTCCTCTTGACTCACTCCAACAGGTCCAAGTCTTTCTCGTACTGGGGACCCCAGGGTTGGACACAGCACTGCAGGTGGGGCCTCACCACCACAGAAAAGAGGGGGAGAACAACCTCCCTCAATCTGTTGGCCACATTTCTTTTTACGCAGCCCAGGATATAACTGGCTTTTGGGGCTGCAAGAACACTCTGAGTGCCTCAGAATCATACTAACATGAATCCAATTACCTATTTTATTCATTCACCAAGGCTTTAGTTATTAGTCTGAAGTTAGGAAATCAAGTATCTGTCTTCATAACAGATGTCACATCCACATCAAAATCTATCCAAAGAGTTTCGACACGACAGTACATAAATTATAATGGAGCCTGGTAGGCAGCTGTAGCATCATCATTTGTATGACACAATTCATCTTTCCCAAATCCATAATGGCACATCTATACAATTTGGCATGTGTAAGTTTTTTATACTGCAATCACAAAATAATGAAACTGACATATTTCTTACTTGAGATTTCAGTGCTTGAAGCTGAGTTTCATAACTCTGAGCCATTTCATTTTTAGTTTTCTCTAAGTTTTCCAATTCTTGTTGAAGTAGTCCCACCTAAAGTTAAAACAAGCATTCAAATGTACCTTTTTTGACATTTTTCAAAATAAGTAATTTTTGGGAAAGTAATTTGAAACTTTGAAAGAAGACTGCTTCTTTAAGGAGAGATATTAAAAATAAGTATTAATTCAGTAACTTGGTAATAAAACTGCATACCACAGACCCAGATTGTGTCAACATCAAATTAGGGATTTTATAGTAAAAAAATCTCATTATTGTACAAGTCTGTCATGAAAGACCATTTCTGAAAGCTTTTTTAACCCAACTGTGGTATTCCCCATTGTGAAAATTTTCCTTGCATGGCTTATAAAATGACACAAATTACCTTCCAGTATTTATGTATAAATTACCAGAAGACACCATAGACTCATTTCAGCTCCCTAAGTGCAGTGCCATTTGCAGTATCATGAATTATTACAGTTTCACAGAGACCTGAGAAATATGCATGGCACATGTGCTTCTCTGGAGGGGCATTTGGAAGCTCAGTATAATATGCTAGAGTATTTCAGATAATGTCTCTGCACAGCAAATAAACTGATGCTTTGAGGATGGGCTACTTGAATTCCTCTCTTGGTTCTTCTGACTGCAGGGACTAAGGACTAGTTCTTAATTGCTCATTAGGGAGAGTCACTCCCTTTTTTAAACTCCCACGGCAATTTAGCCACCTAGCTCACACAAGGCTGCCCTTGTGTAAACACCTAAATTCAGCTGGCTTGAACTAGAACTGAATGCTATGCAAGGATTTCTTGATGCTTCTGAATAATTATTCAGCAGAAAAGCCAGTGAAGTACAGACAATATAAGGTACACTGGGGCTTGAAGTTTCATAAGAAAGTCTAAGTAGTAATACATTTTGAATCTTCACAATGAATAAAATTATCCTACAATAAACAGTAGTAACAAAGACATAATTTTGGGAACCTATTTGAACTGCATTCTTCCATTTAAAATTTCTGATGAGATAAGAAGTGCTGGCATTTAGGAAAAACATCAAATTATCTTTTTACAGCTAACCCAAGAATATTTGATGTAGACTTTAGGGAAATAGAAGAAATATGAGATTTTAAATGACATTTTTACAATCACTTTTCAGAACAGAAGCACACTTTAAAACAAAACACTAAGGATAATTAGTGACCTTTAAGGGGTGTTTGGTATTTTACATGATAGAACAAACAGTCTTATAGAGAATTTAAAGCATACTAATAAGAAACTACCAGAATAAATACTTTCTTTATAGAATGTGATATTCTTAAATACCTCTTGACCTTTTTGATCCAGTTTGCTTTGGGTACTTGCTAATTCTTGATCCTGGATATCCATCTTCGCTTCCAAAGCTCTCATCTTTCTTTCCCATTCTACTTGCTTTCTGTTTACCATGATGTCAATTTGATGCACTAATTCCTGAAGTTCAGCTTCACATGGAGAAGCTCTAAAAACATAAAGAGATTTATTTTTTCAAATAAAGAATAAGGGAAAAATAATTTTTTGGTTTTTTTTTACATTGCTACAACTCTATTTTAATTGTGATCAAACTAACCACTTTTCAGCAACAGAAAGAAAGAAAAAAAGAAATGGGAAAGGTAAATCATGCTTTCAAGTGTAGGTGCAACCTCACTTCATCAATCTTGAGTTTGCCTGCATGCTCAACTTTTGACTGCAATAAACTGAAAATACAGCTCAATGATGGATATGGGTTTATCACAAATCTTTTATTTGGTGCTTAAATTGTGCACATCCCTTGTTTTGATAATTATTACAGGACATTTGAGCGAATTTGTTAAGATTTATAATATCACAATTAAAACATAGCATGGTTTTTAAAAGTTAAATTCTTTAAAACTTCTTTTACATCCACAAATCCTTGAAACTGTAAGAATATCAATGTTAAGCTTGGAAGGGCTTTTTAAATGCACACATAAATCTTAATGACTTTTTAATGTTAAAACTGTTGGCAGTGCCGTTTTGATGTTTAATATGAATCACAGAATGACAATAACGAAAGTGCAAGCAAGTGATGTATGTCTCTCAAAACAAAAACACCTCCCTCCCAAGTGCCTGGAACCCATCTCAAAACCAGCATTAATGATGGGTAAACTCTGATTGCCTCTGGGTGGAATATAAAATGGGATTTTGAAAACAGAAGATAAAGCTATGCTGCTTTATAAGGTCTACTGCTGCATCAGAACTACCTTTTCCTTGATACTGCTCTAAAGACCAGTGCACTTCCAGCCTCCTCAAATGTCACATGGCAGCACTTTGGTGAACCACCAGCAATGACTCAGGTATGCGATTTCAGCCTTCAGAAGCAGGCACTTGCTTTATTGTGTCACATGGATAATCTAAATATTGTTACGCAAGTAAGAATACAACTTCTAGCCTAGATCATCAGATTACCCTTTCAGATCCGCCATGGCTGACACCCTTCACTCTTAAATTTCACCCACCTCTTTCAGATCTTCCTTCACATGGCAAATTCTGCATTTGTTGCTAAAAAAAAATTTCTCTTAACAGCTCTTGCATGCTTCTTGAACCTAAAGCCATCATTATATAAAAGGGAGTGAAAGAGCTTCTCAGCCTATCTTCATTTTCTCTAATTCCTTACCTGAATCCTCTAAGCACACTTGCAGCTGCAAAAGAAAATCTGTACTTGAAATTGTAGATGACTGCTGCTGTTCTACTACCAAAACTACTCTGTATCAAGGCTCTGGTATGGAAAACAGATCCCCAGTAATCCCCACTCACTAGCAGAGAGGTGCTACTTGCCGCAGTAACTATTGCTTTAATCCACTAGTGCTAATTACCCCCTCACAATATGGCCAATTATATGGCACCACAGTCATGAGAATATATTTTGATCACTGGATGTGGAATGCAGTGGTTACTTTTGTTTAATAAGACATCATGTAAACAAACACACAAAGAACCAAATTTTCTCCTAAGCAAAGAAGTAGGCATGTTTTTTTTTACTCAGGCAGAGTCAGCATTCCCAGTTTGCTGGATGCACACATGGAATGGATTCGTCATACAGGGAAGTAATGGCTTGTACTTCAGCAAGTGGCAGCTATTTCTTTTTTTGGTTCATTTACTTTGAAAAAGCTCAAAACACTTAAAGTTATCTCACTTTAAAGTGGTGTAGGTAAGCTCTTAGTCTTCTTTTATCCTGTCTCCATGTAAGTGAAAATAAAGATGAGTCATATTCTTCTGCCATTAATAACTATTTATCTTCATGCAAATTTAGACAAAAATCCAGATAAAAAGTTTCACCACCTCCAGGCCTTTATCACAAACGATTTTTGCACTAGTTAGACCTTTCTAGCTCTATTTATCCATCTTTTGCTTTGGAGTTCTGCACATGTCTGCTTTTTTCTGAGTGTTTCCTAACAGACATAGAAAGAATGGTATTGTCCATACACTCTAGAATAAAGTTATTTAAAAACAGATGATTTAAGAAATGTTTGGTTCATACTGTCTGTCTTGACTTAATACTTTCTTCCCTTATTATTTACATTCTACATCCTACACAAATAGGAAAATAAGTATGGCCATATTTATGCAAACACAAGCAAAACTTAGTCTTACATAGTATATTCATTAGGTTTCAATATTTGCCACAGCTTCCACAGTCAATATTAATTCATTTTATTATTGCAAACCTTGCTCTAAAAATAGGATATATACAAACCATTTGTGACAGAATCTTCTACCCTGAAGTTCCATTACAAGAACTACAACTAACTTATTTAACAACTTGCAGCCATACTGAATCATGCACATCTATGGATAGACAATTTGTGATTTATGTGTCCTTGCAGTTGGAATGTATTTGTCCTGATTTTCACCACCATTACTCAGCCATTTTCCCAAATTTTAAAGGCACTGCATTATCCCTGGAATACTGTCAGCATAAGACTGAAATTTTTTCATTTCAGCAAAGCTGTATCCTAAACTACTCTTCCAGATTCTTTGTATAGTTAATAGAAATAACTAGCTAGCAAGAATTATGGTTTATGATGGGAGAAATTCCTCTAGATTCATCTGCAATAGGCGGAAATTTCCTATATTGATTAAAATAAAGTCGAGGCAGAATCTTGAATTTTTGAAACAGGCTTCTGACTTGTAGCCAAAGAATAGCAGTACCTTTGGGGTTTTCTAATTCAAGCTTTTATATGGCTACTTTGGCAAATCATATAGATATGATATGAAAAAAGGATTCCCTCAAAGCAAAAAAAAGGGGGGGGGCACACTAATCAGAATATTTTACTGCAGCAATTTATATCTATCATGAAAAGTGCATGCATTATTCTTCAGTATGACACAGCACACTTTTAAATCCCATTAAAAACTTTCTTGGGCCAGAATAAGATACGATAGATCATGCCTCTTTTATTTTAAGAAATACCTTTACGTTTAATGTGCATCGTATCACGTTGTGTTGTTTCTTGGAAATAATGACAGAATAAACAGGTTTATTTGAAAAGCAGTTAGTAAGTTTACCTACAAAACTATGATGGATAAATATTCTGTTTCAGTCATTAAGTAGGGAAGTACTTCTTATATGTGTGTGTTCCTTGAAGATGCTGAATGGGATGAGGTCCAAAATCAAATCTTATTCATGTTCTCACTTCTTTAGAAAGACTTTGTGCTAACATATTTTCTATATTAACTAAATACTAACATTTTTTTTCCTAGATTAACATTAAAAGAACTAAACTTGGATTATGTAAAAATAAAAAATGATTATGTGTTCCTATGAAAAGTGCACTTAATACTTGGAGAGAACAGTTGTGGTTATTATCTGTGCAGAATAAGGCTAGGGCTTTAGCAATGAATCTTGTTTTCAAGATTCTTAATGTTTTAAGAGCTGTGATATGTAAGTTTATACTGCTGTAGCCTAGCAACTTCAAGTACTTTTTAAAAAAAGTTTGAAATAACGTTTCTTAACATCTTAATAAAACCCCACATAGCTTTCATTCCCCCTCCTCTCCCCCAGTTCAGGTATGAATATTTAAAACATTTAAATAACTAATAGAAACAGTGAGTAGAGTATTAGCCACAGCAATAAGATGTCTTAATTATCAGCAGTTTCTCCAGTTTGCATGGAAAGCAGAAGAAATAGAGAATCAAGTTTGCTTTCAAAATCATTAATATTTTGTGTTTCACATTTTGAATAAATCTACATAATTCAATTCCATCGTACATTCAACTCCCAGGACAGTAAGTCATTACATACATAGTCACAGCTTGGTCCTGGAACACTTCTAAGTCCTCCTCCATAACACTGATTGTTGTTTTAACCTGTTAAAACACCAAAAGTCAAGTAATTCAGATTCTTAAATGGATTAGTTGACATAGCCAAATAGTACAAACTGGATAGTTCTGTTTTCATTTCATATTATGCAATTTTCTCATAGCAAAAAACAAGGACAGGGGAGTGCAGCTCTAATTACATGCTGGGATGGGCAAGACAAAAACTTCGGGAGTAAGCTCAGCTCTCTGGCAGCAATTCTTGCACTTGGTGCAGCACTGGGATACCAGAGGTGGTGCTGAGCTTAAACCTAGCCCCGAGTCTCCATACGGAAATTTGTTTCGGATCATTCCCTGTTGTGTGATGTCAATGATTTGCGTAGACACTCTGAAGCACATGAATCTAAATTTGCCATAGATTCATGGCTGCGTTCATCAAACATTTTCATCCTTAGCACACCATGATTCATCTTCACCCAGGCTCTAAGTGCTCCCAAACAGCATTTCGGATTCCTATAGACTGGTCACTCCCTTGCCTGGCAGATGCAGTCCAAGATGTGCAGCCCTCAAACACCTCGGCAGGAAGGTCAGAACAAATGCTATTGCTGAGACCAGTCCGGTTCTGTGGGTGCAGCAGGACACAAGGATGTGGGGACATGCCTGCCTGCATGCAAGAACATTATGGGTGACGGGGGAGCATCAAACAGCCCTAATTCCTCGTGGGGAGGAGCAGTGGGGCGCTCAAGCACACGGGTACCAGAACCCACAGACGTGTGGGCAATGACACATGGCAATGCAGCCTTGGCTCCACAGGGAGCAGGCACTTGAGGTGAAATTGCCAAAGGGGCGCTGGCTGGAAAAGGACCGGGCCCCAGGGGTGATGCTGCCACAGGACGAGCCATAGGAGACGGACACCTGAGGTGACACCGGCACAGGGACAGCCTTGGCTGCGCCGGACACCTCAGGAGACCGGGGCACGGACAGCACCGCCCGGGCTTCCGCGGCCGCCCCCTCCCCTCCGGTTACCTGCGGTGCTCCCCGCTCCGCTCCTG